AATCCTCCCCTTGCACCTCCACCAGCAATGGATCATCCACTTCGAGCTCTAACTCGTCATCGTGCCTCGGAACAAACCTGCAGAAAAAAATAATAATAAAATTGGATGAAGCTGAAGATCCGCAGGATCTCTGAAGGTTTGTACAGTATATGTTAGCTAATTTGTCATTGTAATATCAAATATATATTTCACTTCCTACCCAGATGCATGATAAAAATGCCATTGTGTATATGGACAAAATACATGCCAACCCGCAAATAGCTCAAATCCACATATAATCGACGCATATTTCTTGTAACCCCCCAAAAACACAGAGAAACCTCCACTATGTGTTTACCATGTAAAACTGGGATTAGATCCCCCAAAAATGCACACACAAAAAAACAACCTGAAATTGTTTTTTCAAATATTAAAAATGTCGTAATTCATCATAAGTGATATGAATACACAAGTGCTGAGCTGCGAACATTCCCAATTTACAGCAGCAAAATTATGAAAGGGCGAAAGTAGAAAAATAAAGTATATAAATAAATATAAAGATAACATATAAAATACAAATATAAGCATATTAAAAATGGGTTAGTGGGGGTGAGTCCAGGTTTTCTAGACCGTCTATTCAAGAGCCTGACAGAAGTCGGGTATACAAGGCAAGTCAAACTCAATCTTTATCTTCAACGAACTATCCCAGACTCATGAACCAAAACAAAGTCGACCCCGTCCGTATATTTGATGGCATTGCATGAACAACGGGATGAGAACAAACCAAACTCTTGTTGGTATTGAAACTAATGAGTTTAGCAAGGATTTATTTCCTGGCGTGGTGGCTGCTTCACTGACCCCGTGCAACCACAACATCTACACAGAGTGTTTTGCCGGAGGTGATCGATCAAAAAATAAAAAAGGAGCTTCTTTCATTCGATGAATGATTGTAGTTGTTTCATTCTTTAATATAGTCTTTCACTGGCATCCGTTTTTCTAAGCTAACGGCTAACGTTGAGTCAAACCACCTGAAAACAAACACGCGCTCCTTAACATGGGACGATGGCTGAAAATGAGCACTTATGCTAAATCCAGTCCATTTACGCTGTTTATTCTTGTGCTGATCAATGTGCACTGCCCCAATGAAATACATGAATTTAAAAAAAATTACGTAACAAATGAAACAACAGGCTGTCTGGCGCTTGTTGGGCAATTGTTACCAAACGAGTGTTCAATCCAGACAAACCCTCAGATCAGAAAGCCGTGCTTAGTTATGTAAGCGCACATTTATTAGTCATATTTGTAGTTGCTGCCAAATGAAAGATTTTACATAATCTGGATTATCTGTTGGTTTGCTTATCCTGTCCGATCCAATGGAAAAACAAATTTCTTGAAATAAAAGGATCTTTGTTCCTTTGTTTTCCCAAAGAGGGAAAAAAAAGGAGTCAACATTGTGAAAGGTGTTCCTGTAGAAATACAAAAGTAGCTCTCATTTTTTTTTTTTTAACTCCTATGAACATTTGCAGTCAGATTTATGTGTCACCTGTAGACAGCTCTATGACTCTGATCCTGCTCCTCTCCATTTATGGTGCAGGAAAATAAACCAAAAGACTCCGCACCTAAAGCACCACAAAAAAACAAAAGAAGAAAATGGTCAGTTTTCGAGACACAAATGACAACAAAGGGATATAAGTGCAAAATGAGCAAAACTGTTTTGACTTTTTGCATGCTCTAGGACCACATGTCCGGGAGAGTTTTGCAAAGCTCAGAAAACAAAGATGTACAACGTCAGGAAAACAAAAGGAGATTTTTGCAACTAATCATGCACATGAAACAAATGGAGCATATTTTTCTCTTTGGGCCAAAGTGAGCATGGCGTCCCCTTCCTTTGCCTAAATGATTTCCTGACAAATAAGCATTTAGAATCACAATCTGATTTATTGGTCATGTATGCAAGAAACACACAACTAATTGACTTCCCAGTTGCAAAATAGACAAGACAGCAATAACAACCATGGGAGAGACAGACCGAAAAGTCTGGCGGGTTGCTGTTAACCACCCTGATAAGGAAAACAGTCAGGAAGAGGAGGGGAAAAAAAACCCCAGAAAGACTCCAACCATTCTTCTTAATAGGTGGATGGTTGGAGCCGTAGGAAAAAAAAAACTATTTTATTGAAATTTAATGCAGGTTACTGAAGGACAAAGCCTTGGCAAAAAAAACAAACAAAAAAAATTGACGTGATTTTGTCCCTCTCATGTAATCTGTCATTTGAAATTAGGTTTGTCAAAAACGGTGTCAATTAAAACAGATTTCCTCATAAGGTTCTTCAAATTAAGATTTTTAGAATGTGAACTTAAAGTGTCTGGTGAAGGAACGACACCTTATCTGCTCCACTGCACGAAAATAAAACTTGATGAATACCTGCACTTTTTTTAGGCAGTGTATACGAAGCTTGCATGTAAAAACAAAACAAAAAAAACAACAACAACAAAAAAAGCGCATATTTCCAATGCTATGATTTCCAGTGCAACCCAGAAGACGCCGACTTACTTGATGAGCTCGAGCGTCCGTTCATGAAGACGTTGAGGAACTTCTTGGAGAAATGCAGGTCAACATCTGGCGTGGAGTCTTCGGACAGACACGCCGTGGCCTCTCGTCGGACTCCCCCCAAACGGGCGCAATCTTCCTCACCGTCTCCCTCCTCGTACTCTTCCCCGACGGCGGACTCGTAGGGGGACGAGACGCAGTTGTCGTAGACGGTGGCCGAATCGCTGTCGTCGCTGTAACCTTGGTAACACTGTCTCAAACTGACGAGCTCCAGCTGAGCGTGCTCGTCCACCACCAGGGTGTATTTGACCGAGTCGTACGACAGGCCGCTGGCGTCGGAGCTCATGGAAGTTCTTAGCAGGGCGGCTCTGCTGTTGCCCCTTTCCACTTTTCCCACCGCTCTCTTGATTCGCTCGTCCATGATGATTCTGTCCACGTCCTCATCCTCCCCGCAGTAGCTTTCGTCCGTCGCGTCCACATACTCGACGGACCCCTTGAGACTCAAGTCCAGAGCCAGGGAAGGATGAGTTGATAGCGCCATGCTAGGCGGCGTGATGAGCGATTCGACGCAGGAGGCGTAAGAAGGCGGGGCGATGTAGGCTTCGTCCTCCTCGTAGATGGAGGCGTTGGACTGGTCAGGCAGCGGCTGGTAAGGAGGCGGGCCTTCTGTATCGGAGCTGATGGACATGCGACCCTGCTCACTCAGCTGCGAAAGGAAAGGCCGGTCCTGCGTGCAAGGGGGCTCCGAGGGATTCGAACAGCGCTGCACTGGGGTCAGATATATCTCCTCTGTTGGCTCCAAAGGAGCCTCGGGGTGGTACTGGATCCTCTCGTGTTGGTAGCCACTTCCATCCACCTTCCCCGCCGGATAGAGAGGAGCCGGTTTGTAATTCTGTGGCGGTGGTGGCGGCGCAGGTGCCTTCTCCTGAAACTTGGGCCGCGTCGACGCCGCCGCCGTCAAGCTTTGCGAAGGTCCTGATGGGTGCGAGTGCCTGCAGGGGGCGTCGGTGGAGGTGCCCCGGTCTTTGGTCTGCGCGCCGCCACTCCGCACCTTGTCCTCGTCGCTCAGGCAGCTGTGCTCACGCGGCGGCGTTAGCTCACCTGGAAGACGGGAAAACACGCGCAGCGAGACGAAGACGGCCGTGCAAACACACACGCACAGAAAAACACAAAAGCCACAAGCGCAGACAGAGTTTGAGAACATGATGCAGGCATGAGGCTGAAAGGCAGACATGGCAACAAAACAGAACGTGGAAAAACCGGAAGAGCAAAAAGTATGCAAGGTTAGGTAACATATGTCAGGATTACTCAGATAAATCCCCATTACTCATAAAAAAGTCAAAGTACGCCTTCGTCATGGTGATTGACCGGTTATGTCATAATCCGCGGCCAGGAAGTGCTCGCACGGTGATTTTACGAGGGATGATACGCGGACGTCGGCAGATTAGCAAAGAGCTGCTGAGTCTTTTCGATGCAATGCGACATTTAAGGGACAAGAAATACAATGTTAAGATACTGTGGAGTTCTTGGATTGCTACTAAGCAAACCATGCAGTTGAGTACACTTAAAAAAAAAAAAAAAAAAAAATACATTTTCGGAACTTTTTTTCATTCACATCTTAGCGCTTGAATGTAAAACTAAAGAAAAACGGATTCAAGATGAAAGTGAAATTGTCATCTCGGATCATGTTGGATTTTGAGGCGATGACCTTATTTGACTTAAATCTGTCGTCGATCTTGCGTAGCGCAGACACAAACTATTGAACTACTAAAAAAACCCAAATCACATTAGACTGAATTTATCTTATCGTTTGTCTGTTTGTCAAATGTGGGGGTTTTTTTTTTTTTTTTGGTTTGTTTTGAAATGTGAGCCCCAGATTTGACTACACCACACTAAAAATGAGATCATAGGCACAAACAGCGATTCATTTGAAGAGTCGTTCACACAAACTCACAGGGTCCTTCATGTGAATTAAAAATAGCAGTGGCAAAACTAAAATGGGACGAGCGCAGAAGACCGCACGTGCGACAGCAACCGAGGCAAGTTGTCCTGTCGGGATTTTGTCCAGATTTCTTGCCAATTGTCTTTTGAGCGTACAGAATTTTTTTTTTTTTTTTTTTTACCGCCGTTTGTGATACTGTCGGGATTGCATTCAGCTTTGCCTCACGTGATGCGGTCAAGAGAGTTAAAGCAATGACTCGAGACAGCTCGATGCTCGTCCCCGACGTACATCAGCACGCAGACGCACACAGTCAATCAGCAGTCTAAGCAGCTTGCTATCAAACACACTCAGCCGTGACCGTTTAAATTCAAACATTAGTGTCGTTCTGTGACTTGTCAAGAACAAATTCAATCAGAAAAATGCACAGGTGGGTGTTCACATGCCATGTCTCCTTCATCCAATAAGTTTATAGAAGGCAAAAAAAAAAAACCTCACCAGTTTTGAGAGGTGAAGATGAGCCTGAAACTTTATCCTGCCAGCTGTATTTCTTGCCGAAGGAATTGTTGTTTAACGTGTCCTGAGGAAAAGCAGAGGTCAAGAACAAATGAAGGAAGTGGTGGCAGCAGAAGAAGATGAAGAGAAAGAGCGACCAAGCTCTGGATCCTGAGACTCCACCTTTTGTCCCCAACTCACCACACAGCACACACAAAGCTTTTTTTTTTTTTTTCCCCTGGTGAATATGCACTGAATGAGTCTTTTGTCTGTGCGTAGTGGTGTGAATTTAAAGGGGACCCAGACCTTTTCCCCAGTGGGAAGACATACAATGATTAACTGTAATTTTCTATATTATTTTACTTTAAAAGTGGAGACAAAAAAAAAGAGTGATGTTTGTCCTCAAAACATCTTGCTGCTTTGTGTTTTTGATACATTGTACACCAGGGGTGCCCAAACTTTTCGGACCGATGATCGACTTTTCGATCAACCAACCTCCCGCGATCGACCCGTTACTGCGCACGCACATACACACGCACGCCATGATGAGCAACAGCCTGACGCGGAGGAACGCTGCGCACTTTTGCAGCCTGTTAACTAACATGCACAAAGACACACAAATGGTTGTTGGGTTTTTTTTCTCCTCTACACCCCTCGTGATCGACTTGGGACCAGTCCGCGATCTACCGGTCGATCGCGATCGATGTAATGGGCACCACTGCTGTACACGGGTATACAGTACAAATGTAGTGCAAATGGGATCCAAATCAAGAACTGGAAAGTCCTGTGATCCAAATATTCTCTTGCAAATATCTGGTTCACTTATGCTATGCCCACCCGACGATGCATGACTCACTTCCCAATCTTGCGTACCAGGCGGCGACCGGAGCTGTCGTCATGGTAATGAAAGACGTCGAACCATCTCGCCAGGAGTAGAAAAAAAAAAGATGATGGCTTTGGGAAAATGACTCATGTGGCGTGTTTATTAATAACTCAGACGTACGCAAACGTGATGCGGCATGACGGAAAACGAAGACCTGCCACAATTCTTCGAAGTCGAAGGCAATGCCGATATCGGACCTGTCATTGAGAACGAATGATGTGTCCACAGATGAATGACTTCAGGTCGATTTTGCATGCGAGGCCACATTTACTCTGAAGTACTTAGAACAAGTGCGGTGTAACCAGATGGGAGATTATCAAGACTCAGGATTAATCCTGATATCACGTCGGCCTCTCTGTCTGAACGCGTTTACTCAAACGGTCTTAGAGAGGGCAAACAACAAAATAAAACCTGCCGTGTAAGTCAAGGCGAAAAAAAAAGCATTTTTACAAATATTTGTCACTAAAAGAGTCACGGCAATGAACTCCCAACACTCAAAGTACTGTGGTTTTTGTCCCTCTTGTTTTTCAGCCATAGAAGTCTGCCAAATGAAGCAGAACCGAATACAGATACAGTTGACGTTTTTATTGATTCACTGACCTGGAAGCAACCACCCAGTTGCCTCCGCGTCGCTCAACAACTCTCAAGCACTCGGGTTGGAGAATACGACCCAGAAATCGTTGGCACGGATGCCTCTTATGTAATCATCTCAGCCGCAGAGGTCGGTGAGAGTTTCACAATCGGATTGGGTTCCCGTCCGCCCGATGGATGAAATCGCAATGAAAGCGACCACAACCACCGACAAATTAATCAATCGGCATTTTTTGTCATTGTGTCTGTTTTCCAACAACCGCACATACGTTGTATTGTACGGCCACTACGAGTAATGATATGCTTAAGTGTACATACACAATTGACCCTATTTTCCGGATTATAAATTGCTCCGTAGTATAGGTCGCACCAGCCATAAAATGCATAATAAAGACGGGAAAAAAAACATATATAAGTCGCACTGGAGTATAAAGTCGCATTTTTGGGGGAAATGTATTTGACAAAATCCAACATCAAGAACAGACATGTCATCTTGAAAGGCAATTTAAAATTAAAAATAAAATCGAGAACAACCGGCTGAATATGTGTACGATATGCTAACATTACCTGACGCATAAACAACGAACTGAGAGCGTGCCTGGTATGTTCATGTAACATATTAAGAGTTATTCGGAACATGCTAACAAGTTGACCGAAACCGTCAGAGTCACTCCGAATCACTCAATCCAATGAAATCTTCATCCTCTGTGTCCATGTGTACACACATGGATTTTTTTTTTTTTTTAATCTCATCGGTGAAACTAGGCAAGTCTAAAAATGTGTGTAGAAAGTGAATGACGGCCAAACAACTCCGCCTTTCGAAGTGGTCCTTCACCCTTTCTACATGTGACAACTCAAAACGCAGACAGGAAACTCGGAAGGGCAATGGTACACTGGCTTCAAACAGTCAGTTTTCCACCTCGGGGAAAACTGGACAAACTAAAGCGCTGACAAATGCGACGCTGCTCAGAAGATCATTTTGACAGCCTACAAGCCTGGAGGAGTGGTGGAGAATCGGCAAGAAGATATTCAGACTGTTGCATAAGTGGACGTATGTAAACAGGGGCAGTTAAAAAAAAAACAAAACAAAATCAAAACAAAAAAAAAATTACTGTACTGTATTATAATGACACAAAATCTGTGAAATGGTAAATACCTGACGTGCTATTTTACTATATCCTCCATGATCAAAGGGTGGAACAAAAATTGTTGTGTGTCCCCCTACTTCAATCATTAATGTAGCACTGCCGCTTTTAAGTACAACTCCTGTCTTTGACTCTCCCCATTTTTCTCTTGATTTCCATGGGGAGGTAAGCCTTTTTAGAGCTGGGGGAGGTGGAGGGGGGAAAATAATAATTCATTTACAAGTTTAGAGTACATTGCTGTGCCAAATAATTTGTGTAGGGGCACACCGTATTACTCTGATTGGCGGGAGGACCTTGTTTTCTGCTACTTCTGCTGTGCATTGTCAATATTCTGAAACAACAACGCAGGCAGTTGCACGAAGCCGAGACGCTCACTTTCACACACGTTCTCTCTCTAAAATGTAAATAGAGAGATTCTTATAGAGAGAGAGAGAGAGAGAGAGAGAGAGAGAGAGAGAGAGAGAGAGAGAGAGAGAGAGAGAGAGAATATACACAAAAAGTCCAAAATCATGACGTGACTCCTGAGGGGGCATGATGACTGAACTTACATTCATCTGATGACCAGAAGCATGACTCGAAATAAATATGAATATACTTCAAACTCATTCAATGCCAAGGACGTTTTTTCATGTTTTTTTTTTTTTTTTTTTAAGGATAGAGGCATCCAATCACAGGTATGGCTTTATGTATTTTTTTTCACGTGGTCAGCTAAAGAAGAGTCTGAAGATGGCTGTCACTGAATGAGTCAGAGTAAGTTGTGTCTGACAACCGGGTAAAATTAAAATGTCAGAGGGCAACACAGTCGCACCACGATGCCTCAGACACTGACGAAAACTTTGCCACCGTAATCATCCGTCACCGCTTACACACCACACGATTCAATTTAGAACTTCCTGTCAATTCGGATGGGTTATTTCATGACTTACTCTACAGCCTTTGAAAAGATAAATGTGCTGTTTGAGAAGACAGCAGACAGGCACGCAGTCCCGTGACACTTTCCCTCACAAGCTCAAATAAGCAATTGTGTACTGGTCCGATTGGCAGTCAACGCACACCGTCATGCATTCTCTTTACAGTGATCATAAAACAAGGTCACCACTGTTGTTTAAATTGAAATGATACACATGCCAAAGGGATGGAAACGTCTTGACAATAGAAATGTTGGTTCAGCGGAGCGAACACATCCTCTCGGAGCAAATGCAAAAATATGATTGTCAATAGTAAGATGACATCTATTTGCTTGAAAAGAAAAATCAAGAATATGAGATGAAATCTTAATCACCGAAACATCATATTTTCCCACTCAGCTTTATGTATACAATAATGTCAACAACAACAAAAAATAAACTACCTGTGTGCGGGGCACAATTGGAAACAGATTCAGTGTCGTCGGTCTCTTGGGCCGGTAGGTATCCATGGTAACAGGTACTGTAGGGTCCTTGGTGACCGGCGGAGGTGCGATGGAGGCTTTGGAGGACTCTTTGTCACCGCGGAAACCGCCAGCACCATCAATGAGATCCAAATGCAGCATCTCTGCCTGCAGCTGTCCGACAGCGCCCAGCTCTGCCCTCCCCGGCCTGCTATTGGTCCCTCGCCTCACGTGGCCCTGCAGTGATTGGAAGGCAGTCAGAGTGGAGAAACAGACAAGAGTGAGCAAGGCAGAGAGGGCGTGCGCGTGGATGAGATGAGGAGACCGAACTGGCCAATTAGAAAATTCCTTGACTTCTAGCCTTGCAGTTCTCTCATCACTATCAACACTGAGCTGCTTAGCGCCCAAACACAGCTGAGGATGGTTTGTAGTGGGAGATTGTATTCCCTCCCCCGAGTGCATCCAAGTGTTTAGCTGCCCAGCTTTGCTCTATTTTTTTCTTCAACATACACAGATGGTACACGCTTGATGGGCTGACATGGCCTAAAAAAAAAAAAAAAAAAAAAAAAATCTCCACTACATTACCAGTTGGTAGCATTATGATGACATTAGCTTTTAAGCAGTAACGGACACAAAAATTGAAAAAAATAATTCAAAAGGGAGAAGAGGTTGGAGATGTCTTGCTTTACTTCACTATGAGACACACACAAAAAATTGCTCTAAAAATAGGGTGAAAAACGCAGCTCTGCATTGAATTCAGCAGGCCCACATTTCAAAGTCAATTGCGAAGTGAATTGACACGAGATCATTACGATTTCAAAAGGAACACATTTGGTGAGATTTTTTTTTTTTTTTTTTTTTTGGTGGTGTGCTGTGAAATGTTTTACACGGTTGGTACTGCATACATGGCAAGTATGCACAGAGGATATTTTTTGTATTTATTTTTTGTGCCAGCAGGGGGCAAACCTTTTCTTAAATGCAGGTTGCAGTACTACACTTGTAACCCAAGTCCTGTCAAGTCAAAGGCGTCAAACAGATCCAACAGCTGTCGAATTAACTTTGAATGAAATTCACTCCACTTTGGGCCTGATTTCCAGGCGCAGACTTAACTTGCTCATACAAACAGACGTGGAAGCTGATTTATTTACTAATCGGATGCATCCAGGATTAGACCTGCTAAACATGCTACGATGTCATCCATCCATTTTCAACACCGCTTATCCCGAAGAGGGTCGCGGAGGTTGCTGGAGCCCATCCCAGCTGACTTCGGGCGAAAGGCGGACCAACCCCTGAACTGGTCGCCAGTCAGTCAACAGGGCAGCTACTATGTCATCCACTTCATTTTGCGTATTCTTAGAGGACTATTCGCAAAAAGACAGATTAAACACACACTATGTGAGTTATCATTTATCGTTTCTTTTGTTCCATTTCCAGTGCAACACGACTAATTACATCATCCATCCATTTTCTTGAAAACCTAATTTTGCCCAAGCAAGCGCTCTCCCAAATTGTCCATGGAGAATGCATGCCGAACACCACCGCTTTCACAACAGTGTTGACAAACTGTTGGCGGGAATGAACACGTAATTTAGCACCTTGTTATTTGGTCGCCAACTAAAAAAAGCTGTCTCTTTTCCTGTCATTTTTTTTTTTAACGGGCGATTCTCCAATCGAGACTTCTGACACACCTGTATCGTGTGGCCTGAAAATGAACAACCAAAGAGGCTCACTGAGTTTTGAGGTTGGTCTCATGTCTCATAGATATGCGAAATAAATTGGCGTAGTGCGGGGGTCGGCAACCCACGGCTCAAGAGCCGCATGCGGCTGTTTAACGCCGCCCTAGTGGCTTCCTGGGGCTTTTTCAAACATGTTTGAAAATTGAAAAATATTTTTCTTTTGATATGGTCAGTCAGGTGGCTGTTGTAAAAAATAAAACAGCGTTTCATGTACAATTCACCGAGGGTACTGGCAAAGAATGGGAATCTGGAGGGGCGAGAGAAGCATTTTTAAACGGTACACGTGAGCTACGATGGTTAACACGCGGCAAAAGTGCGTCCCATGCCTCGTTCATCTTAGCTATGGCTCTTGTTCATTATGGCATGCGTGTGTAAGTGCGTGAGTATGCGCGCGTGTGTGGTAACGGGTCGATCGCAGGACGTTGGTTGATCGAAAAGTTGATTTTCAGTGCATTTTGATAGTAGGCTAATATAGCTCATATAGATACATACAGCATGTGTTTCCTCCATTATAAGGCTTATGGAAGGCTTTTATTTTTGCCGACCGCTGGCGTAGTGGGCTCAAAAGTGATACTACCAGTGACGGGCATCATTCATCTTGCAGTATGCTGCTCTGAAGGAGGAGCGTGTGTTTTTGCATTCTTTAAATCGAATCAAAGTTATTGAATCAAAATACTGGGCATGTTTGGGGCCGGCGCATCAATGAAACGCCAGCGAGTGCTTTGAATGCTTAAAAGGCTCATTTTCCCTCCCTTCGGCTATTTCAAAGCGAAGATCAATATCTGCTAATGCAACCCGCTTCCGCTTGCACCCTTCTCGTGTTTTACGGCCTGAATTTATAACGGGCCCCTTTGAAAGGCACCGCTGTGTTGCTAGGAGACAAGTGACGATGTGGAGGCGGACGAGGAGCGCCTGCTGCTGCTGCTGCTGCCGGCCCCCTTGGCGACGCTGCAATACTGTGATGCTCAGCTCTCGTCCAATCAGAGAAGCCAAAGCGGGGGGGAAATGTCACAATCACATAACGTCGCAACTTGATGACTCACATATAATCAAAATCGCAACCCTCAAAAAAAAATAATAATAATAATCATTATCTTAAGAATGAGAGAACGTCTCACTGTGGCGTTACATTCACTGCAACAGAAGTAAACCCTGAATTAAATAATCCTCGAGGCATCCCTGGATGGATAAAAAAAAAAATAAAGCACAAGCAGAGACACAAGATGCGTGTCTGTTTGCGTTTGCGCTGATGAGGCCGGGTCATCTCTTCCCATGAGTGGATGAGATGACGTGAGCAGTATCCATGGAGGCAGTGCAAACCACCTCTTGCTGTATTTTCAACCCCAACACATGCGGGCGGGAAGTGAAAATAGGTTGCCATGGAAATAGCTCCCATGGCTGTTTTGCTGAAGCACCTCTTTCCGCGTACCCTCTTTCCACCGTTTCGTTCCTTTTCATCTGGTTGCCTCTCACATCCAGCCTTCACGGTGTTAGTGACTTGTTGTTATTGATTATACAGAATACATTTTGAAGCAATTAGCAACAAGGGCTTCATTCATTCATTCATTTTCCACTACATGACCTGTTTAGCGTTGCAGCTAATCTGGAGTCCAACCCAGCCGCGCACCAACGTGCACAGTATGTACAGTCAGTGACTGACAAGACAAGATGAAGCCTGAAGCCACTTGGGAGGGTGAGCACAATGATGATGTCATCACTGTGGGTTGAAGTACATCAAGTGAACGATCTGTGCCGAGGTCCCACACAGCCCCACACACTCCTCGGTTTCTGAAAGTGTATCAACGCTTTATGCATTATTAAACAGGGCTGGGCTTTCTCCACAAATTGCTGAAATGCTGAACTATAACGAGAAGAAGCAGAACACCTGTCTGTGCCTGATGATAAATTCAGTCGTGCTCGGGTTCTTTTTGGGCAAAAACAAATTTATGGGGGACAAGGTTGTTAATTCATCATTGGAGCCCGAATCAAATATTGGGAAGTAAAGCGGAGTAAATTGGCAGATATCATGGAAGTCGAGTCAAGTGTAGCTTTTATAAAAAAATAAATAAAAATCTTAGATATGTTACAACGTTACATGATCATACTGCACCACTCTTGAGGACTCACAATAGCTCGGTATTGCTGTGCTAACGTCTTAGTTTCAGATGCACCGAAATTCAACATTTTCTGGCTCATGTGTTTATCCAATTCATAACTAAGGCTTGAGTAAGCCTGACTTATGTTTCCAGCACATTTCTTCCATCTGCAATGAAATGCGTTTGATCGCAGCATGTGCATACATGGCTTCCGTTCAGCAAAGGCTGTTCTATGATTAGCAACCCAATTACGAAGGCATGACAAAGCACACGTAGAGACCCAAAAATATCGAATGCTCATCTGCTAGCAAAAAAATGACTCAAGGGGAACAAAAGCTTTCGACCCTCCCGTTGCCTTGGTTACAAGAGAAGAAACAATTGGTGGAGTTGATGAAGGAGGAGGCGTCGATGGGTTCAGAGAGAACGGAGCCCCCAAAAAGATCTGACAGAATAATATATTCAGCTCGCTTTTTCTCGCTGTAGCAGTTCAATCTTTTTTGGTGATAGTTCAAACATGCTCCGGTTGGGGGAAAAAGGGGGGGGGGGCTCAGACAGAATGCCCAAAACTTGCTCGAAGCTTAAAGAATGAATATAAACTTATAGATGTCAATTATTAAGTTGATACCGTATAATGGCAGGAAGCTTGCACAACACAAATGGACAAAATGTATTTTTTTTAAGTAATTTTGTCTTTCCAGCCCTTATCTGTTTGGGTTTTTTTCAACATTATACATTAACACCCTTCCCAAAACATGACTGAGCAGGAATAATGTCCTTAATCTCCAGATGGCAAAGGCCCAGCTTCACTTTTGTCTCCAAAATACGTGAACCTTGCTGAATACAAGAAACTACAGCGGACAACAAAATGCACGGTATGAATTTTTAACAGGGAAGAAAAAAATAGTTTGAATTCCTTTTGCTCTAGTCTTACCTTGATATCTGGGCCATTGCAATTGAGGCTCATCCCACATTCGTCTGTGATCTCCGTAATCTCTGACAGGTCATCGTCTTCAAACTCACCCAAGCTAATGTCGTGAGTCAACCTGGGAAAAAGGGATTCAAGAGAAAGTGACAGATTAGAGATCAAAAAAACTTTATCAAGACTCGACCTCCTCTTCAAATTGCGTTGAGCAAATTAGCGCAAAGTCATAAATTCTGAACTCTCAAGAGGAAATCCCTTGAATGGTAACCGTTGTACCAATTTCAAACAACCCAACTTTATTTATGAAGCACTTTTCCTCCAAAAGGAAGCAACTCAAACTGCTTCATGTTACAAAACCGCTTCGAACGTCGCTCCTCAAATGAAGTCGGCGATGAGCAAAACTGCTCCTTAAACAGCAACGTTTACTTTGAGCTGTGTGTCCTTATAATCACGTCGCTTCAGCGGCACGTTTTATGTCGCCTTTGCTTCACGGTGGTTGTTCCATTCACGACTCAATCCATTCAATCAGGTGAAATGGCCCCAGGATGACCCTGCTATCGAGATTATTCTCCACAAATGCATCCTAAACTGCAAGCGTGTTCAAAATGACGGCAGCGAGAAAAACATTATGAGTTTTGTTTTTATAGTCTTTTTAAACAACGTTAAAATGCAGACATGATTTAGTTCTATTACAACGGTACAAACGTTACCGGTACATACAAACACCTCTCTGGGACAAAAAAAATAAATACAGACACAAGCTACAAGTTTTGCATTACCAGCACCCCCGCAAAAAAAAAATCATTTGAAGTGAACTCGGAGGATCCAGAGCAGCTAACTTGTGTCTTAAGGAGGGAATTCTCTCTTGGGTTGACTTTGATCATTAATTTACTGTTAGGTCATTTTGGGCCTCTTCAAGGGATGTATCATCATCCTCCCAAGACCGCAGTATTACCGGTAATTATAATTCATTTCACGTTGGACCAGTAGTGTTCATGTCGATTGTGTTTATTCCTAAGCATGAGTGTTCAATATATACTCCAGGACTGGTCTAAAAAGGTCAAAAAGAAAGATGCCTGTAACTCTTCCCATTCATCCAGGTCATTTCATTCTAAGAGCATTGAATCGCAACTGGACTTTAGATCGTACCGGCCTTTGTCACTGGGTTTGACCAGTTCTGAAATGTACTGGAATTTGGGGTTTTTGAAAATCCTTCTCAGCTTCGAAGACAGACCTGCTACGTCTGGAATGACAAAATTGTTGTCTTTCTCATCGACGTTTTACCTTGTCCCTTTTGGAAGTTGATCTCCTTTTCACAAATGTAATTCATGCCTTCGTCACATCTCAGCTGGATTACTGAAATACACTTTGGAGTAAGCCAATCCTCCATGAAGTATCTACAGTTGGTCCAAAATGCTGCTGCTCACCTCTTGACTGGGATTAGTAAGAGGGAGCACATAACTCCCACTCTGGCATCCCTTTTTGTCCACTGCGTTCATGTGCTCAGTGAAGGCTCGATTTTCTTGGCCTTGGATTTTAACCTGTGTGTCATCCATCTATCTGTACTGATGACTTGGAATTGTTCCCTTCATGTTGCAGACAACTGACTCGTTGCCGCCATTTCATTTGCGTGTGATCACGTTGCGTAGGGAAATTAACAAATTAGCTGTGGCTGATTAAAAAATGTTTTCCCCGTTTTTAGATATAATGTCGAGCAGAATCTCCTCTATCGCCTTGTTTTCAATTAGATGATTTTCTTGCAGTATTTCGGTGTTTATCGCCGCCTTGGCAAGATATCTCGTCTTTGACCGTCCAAAATGTGCTGAACGCTAGCTGGAATATTTATATCGACCTATCCCGACCAATTTTGAGGGTTTTAAAGGACATGCTGTGATGCCCACTTGGTACATGATGCCTTGCCAAAATTTGTCTCGCCTAACCTTGACTGGGGGGGATAGTAGAAAATGATTCCAATGGGATAGTTGTTTTGGGCAGTGTAACCGTGTCTCATGGTCGCGCCGTTTTCTCATGCATTCAAATCCAACACAGCTAGGGGCTGTTTCAACAGAACCAAAAACGTTGAGCACAAGTTTTGTTCAGTAAAAGTAGATTTTTACTGCAGCTGTTTTACACTAGGCTGGTTTGGAGTCATTGAGTTTATGAGGCTTGGAACACGTTGGGACTGCTGTCATGTCATCTGAATGAACATCTCTGGCATCATCCTATGCCTTTTGCCTTGGCTGTTTCCCTGATTAACAACAACAACAACAAAATCTGTATTGCCTGTCTTCTATTTGAAGCTGACTGAATAAATAAATTAACCTGTACCTGAACACAGATCTCAGTTCAGATGACGAAAACATTCTAAAAGTGCATGCTATGACATTTCGTTGTTTCAGTTGGTCCCAAACAAAGTGGCCAACAACAACATCTGTCAAGAGCATCACACACTTGACATTTTGACCCTGGCATTTAGTTATTAAATCAGATGGCTGGACAGTACACCTGCATCTGTCCCAGATGATTCACAGCTTTATGCTCGTAACTTAGAGACCACAGTGGTGCAAGCTGCTAGCCATTCATCAGCTTCGCCCTCTTGCAAGGACACACTTTGGACCGGAGCAAGACGCTCCTGTCAGATGCCACATCCACATAACTCACCATCGTTTGATGGATGAAAACCAGCCCAGCACGGGCCGATTTATACTGAGCTCTTCCTGCACTCATGCCACTGTCATAACAACATGAGGTGGGCTGTGCATTCCCTGGCCAAGCTATTTTTTGCTCTGCAGGCACAACATCTCTTCCCAGGACACACAAAGGCACATGCATACCCCTCCATTCAAGGGCAAGCCTGCCCCGAGCTTTAACATGCAAAGAGTCGACAAATGGAGAGAGCGCGTTAACAGCCGCACACAAACACAAGGTCACACGGCCATGTTGCAACATTCCAGTCAAAAAGACAGAAAGCGTGGCGACGTGTCCTACCATTTTTCCCACTGGTCCTCCATCCATCCCTCTTCTCCTTCCCCTCCCGAGTCCATACTGTAAGTGAGGAGGGCATCCGAAGCCGAGAAGAGGAGAAGGAGCGAGGGGTTTTGAGAGTGAAGAAGGTGGGGGGGTAAACTGCAAGCGTGTTCAAAATGACGGCAGCGAGAAAAACATTATGAGTTTTGTTTTTATAGTCTTTTTAAACAACGTTAAAATGCAGACATGATTTAGTTCTATTACAACGGTACAAACGTTACCGGTACATACAAACACCTCTCTGGGACAAAAAAAATAAATACAGACACAAGCTACAAGTTTTGCATTACCAGCACCCCCGCAAAAAAAAATCATTTGAAGTGAACTCGGAGGATCCAGAGCAGCTAACTTGTGTCTTAAGGAGGGAATTCTCTCTTGGGTTGACTTTGATCATTAATTTACTGTTAGGTCATTTTGGGCCTCTTCAAGGGATGTATCATCATCCTCCCAAGACCGCAGTATTACCGGTAATTATAATTCATTTCACGTTGGACCAGTAGTGTTCATGTCGATTGTGTTTATTCCTAAGCATGAGTGTTCAATATATACTCCAGGACTGGTCTAAAAAGGTCAAAAAGAAAGATGCCTGTAACTCTTCCCATTCATCCAGGTCATTTCATTCTAAGAGCATTGAATCGCAACTGGACTTTAGATCGTACCGGCCTTTGTCACTGGGTTTGACCAGTTCTGAAATGTACTGGAATTTGGGGTTTTTGAAAATCCTTCTCAGCTTCGAAGACAGACCTGCTACGTCTGGAATGACAAAATTGTTGTCTTTCTCATCGACGTTTTACCTTGTCCCTTTTGGAAGTTGATCTCCTTTTCACAAATGTAATTCATGCCTTCGTCACATCTCAGCTGGATTACTGAAATACACTTTGGAGTAAGCCAATCCTCCATGAAGTATCTACAGTTGGTCCAAAATGCTGCTGCTCACCTCTTGACTGGGATTAGTAAGAGGGAGCACATAACTCCCACTCTGGCATCCCTTTTTGTCCACTGCGTTCATGTGCTCAGTGAAGGCTCGATTTTCTTGGCCTTGGATTTTAACCTGTGTGTCATCCATCTATCTGTACTGTTGACTTGGAATTGTTCCCTTCATGTTGCAGACAACTGACTCGTTGCCACCATTTCATTTGTGTGTGATCACGTTGCGTAGGGAAATTAACAAATTAGCTGTGGCTGATTAAAAAATGTTTTCCCCGTTTTTAGATATAATGTCGAGCAGAATCTCCTCTATCGCCTTGTTTTCAATTAGATGATTTTCTTGCAGTATTTCGGTGTTTATCGCCGCCTTGGCAAGATATCTCGTCTTTGACCGTCCAAAATGTGCTGAACGCTAGCTGGAATATTTATATCGACCTATCCCGACCAATTTTGAGGGTTTTAAAGGACATGCTGTGATGCCCACTTGGTACATGATGCCTTGCCAAAATTTGTCTCGCCTAACCTTGACTGGGGGGGATAGTAGAAAATGATTCCAATGGGATAGTTGTTTTGGGCAGTGTAACCGTGTCTCATGGTCGCGCCGTTTTCTCATGCATTCAAATCCAACACAGCTAGGGGCTGTTTCAACAGAACCAAAAACGTTGAGCACAAGTTTTGTTCAGTAAAAGTAGATTTTTACTGCAGCTGTTTTACACTAGGCTGGTTTGGAGTCATTGAGTTTATGAGGCTTGGAACACGTTGGGACTGCTGTCATGTCATCTGAATGAACATCTCGAGCATCATCCTATGCCTTTTGCCTTGGCTGTTTCCCTGATTAACAACAACAACAACAAAATCTGTATTGCCTGTCTTCTATTTGAAGCTGACTGAATAAATAAATTAACCTGTACCTGAACACAGATCTCAGTTCAGATGACGAAAACATTCTAAAAGTGCATGCTATGACATTTCGTTGTTTCAGTTGGTCCCAAACAAAGTGGCCAACAACAACATCTGTCAAGAGCATCACACACTTGACATTTTGACCCTGGCATTTAGTTATTAAATCAGATGGCTGGACAGTACACCTGCATCTGTCCCAGATGATTCACAGCTTTATGCTCGTAACTTAGAGACCACAGTGGTGCAAGCTGCTAGCCATTCATCAGCTTCGCCCTCTTGCAAGGACACACTTTGGACCGGAGCAAGACGCTCCTGTCAGATGCCACATCCACATAACTCACCATCGTTTGATGGATGAAAACCAGCCCAGCACGGGCCGATTTATACTGAGCTCTTCCTGCACTCATGCCACTGTCATAACAACATGAGGTGGGCTGTGCATTCCCTGGCCAAGCTATTTTTTGCTCTGCAGGCACAACATCTCTTCCCAGGACACACAAAGGCACATGCATACCCCTCCATTCAAGGGCAAGCCTGCCCCGAGCTTTAACATGCAAAGAGTCGACAAATGGAGAGAGCGCGTTAACAGCCGCACACAAACACAAGGTCACACGGCCATGTTGCAACATTCCAGTCAAAAAGACAGAAAGCGTGGCGACGTGTCCTACCATTTTTCCCACTGGTCCTCCATCCATCCCTCTTCTCCTTCCCCTCCCGAGTCCATACTGTAAGTGAGGAGGGCATCCGAAGCCGAGAAGAGGAGAAGGAGCGAGGGGGGGAGTAAGGGGGAGGAGCATCAAGGAGGAGAGCTGGGTGGAGGTGCGGCTCACACGGGTCGATGCAAGAAGCGTTACATTCCCAGCTTGCTGTTGCTTCTTTGCACAGAAGCGATACCGTGAGGGAATTGTTTAAAGCAGAGAAGCTAGGGCCGGAGGGAGTGTTATCTAATCTGTTCCCGCCTCTCTTTTCCACTCTGATGTTTAGTCTGCCTGTGTGCATCAGATTTACTATGCCGAGGCAGGAAAATGCTGGCGTAAGCAGAATACTTGCCGGACAGAAAGCCCGGACAAGAGAAACATCAGCACAACGGGGCACTCCTCTCGCTATGCACCACGGGTATGCTCAATTATTCATGAGGCCCATTGATCACACACACACACACACACGACTTTTTTTTTTTTGAACCTTTTGTTATTCCCTTTCTATTCATCGGAGTAAAATACTGTAGATTGTTGGTCCAAAATCACCAAGCATACAGCAGTTAGAATACAGTCGACACTCTTGGTAGTAAATCAAGAAAAGCACACTACTCATCAAATTATAATCATGACTAGATTTTGATGCGAGAAGAAGAAACAGAAAAAAAAAATGCAGAGCAAAAGTACACCATTGAAGGATTGATAAAACAATGCAATCATCCACCCATCCAATCATTTCCTGATGCGCTTATGCTCCTCACGAGAATCACGGGTGTGCTGGAGCCTAACCCAGCTGCCTTCGGGCAGTAGGCGGGGGACACCCTGAACCGGTTGCCAGCCAATCGAAGGGCACGCACAGACAAACGACCATCCGCGCTCACACTCACACCTTTACACATTCACCCCATACCAATTGTTTTATTTGACGTTCAGGCAAAATCATTCAAAATAAGTCATCTATCCAAGTCCTTATGAATGGTCGATAAAGAATTGGACCACAGACAGCTGGTGAGGGCATGGCGGTGACGCAGGAAAACAAGGCAACAACAACATATGGCTCCACTGGGATGAAGCCAATTTCAGGGCTAAAGATGACAAGCTTTCCCTTCTCTGACAAAAAAAGCAATTCTGAAGCAATCAATTTAAGAAAGCCTTGTGCACACTGATTTCCAGTGAGCCATTTCAAAAATAACATCAAAGTATAATCGACTAGTTTGGCCGACTCTGTGTGTAATGTTGAAATGTGTTCCGAATAGGAATTGGAATCGTTTTATAGCGATTAAAAGCACGAATAATACAATGGTTGGAAAGTTAAATTTGAAGCAAGATGTTTTTTTTCTGAAGAATTTGGCAGGATGTTAAATGACAATCCACGATAAATTGTGGAGTATTTTTTATAATGGCATATCCGTATGGTGTGCATCATGAACTGCATTTTGTTAACGCACAGACGTTTGGCACAGTAGTTCAAACTCAAGATTTATTATTTGATTTATAACACGTTATTTGAGATTTTAAATGTGCCGCATTTTGATAAATATCGGTCAGACAGCACAGATGACTGGCTTGCAAGGATTCCTGTACGTTAAATAATGATCTATTAACTTCTCGAGAAAGCTTTTCAACATGTGTTTGAGAAATTGAGCAGCAGGTTAGACGATCGTCTTTCGCTATTGCCATTATTGATTTTACAAAATCAATTATTCATGTGTGCATGTGTTCCCTGCAGTAACACCCTGTGAAATTGTATCATATGCGCTACTTGGTGTTAAGTTGGCTCAGACCAATCTCATTTGCATATCTGGATATTTTATTGTTCATAACATACTGAAGCAACTGTTGGTTGCGAACTCTTCCTGCTCCATAAAGTGCATCAAAACGATTCACAGTGCTTCACTTTTTTCAAGGATTTGTGTTATGAATGCAGTGATTTGAGCAAACAATTCAATCTTTATACCCTTAAATATATTTCATATACGCCACATTGATATCCTGTCTCAGCACTTGTTGAGAAACGGCTTTTAAAGGGACATTGATTTAATTTCTCGAACCAAATACAGAATTGCTTGTTGACAAGATTGCAATAGCACTTTTGTGACATATTACGAGTCTTTTTTCTCTCTCTCTTTGTGATTGAGGACTTGTTCAGTTACATTCAGGATGAAAAAAAAAAAAACATGATTGCAGTTGCGTCTGACTTGGATTCATACACATCCGAAATGGTGTCTTGAAACTATTATAATTTAACTCAAAGACAGGGAAGATTCCCTGTATGACACCAAAATCAAAATACTGCTCTGTAACAAAATATTTACAATTAGAATATTAAAATAAATCTACTTTCACGTCAAGAAGAAACAGCAGGCAATTAATCAACCTATAAAAAAGTGAACACAACCAATAAGAAAATATATTATTCAAGTATTATACTTTTTTTGTATGAATCGATTATAGTGATAGTAAACTGACAGTAAATTGCTGGCATGATTAGGCACAAAATGAGTGCAATATTTGTAGTTCCTTTCATGATTCAGTACGATAAGCTGCTTGATAACACAACATAGCAATCGTTGCAGCTGTACCTCAGATCATAAAACACACCCGAACACAGAGAGAACCAAAACACCGAGAGACTCCATCAATACCGAATGCACGAACTCAATGGCAGCAAGCCAGCTAGCAAGCAAGCAAGCATCTCAGCCCTCCTCATCGCGCCCAAGCCTCCCCGCCGTTTCTTACCTGCAGCTGGCTGCAGATTTGTGTTGAAGATTGCGGTCGGGCTGCTGGCTGCCTTCCCGCTTTTCGCCGTCCGCCATGCCGCTCGCCCTCTCATGTCTCCGTTCGCATCAAGCAGCGAGCAGCAGCGTAGCCGCCCGGCGGTCGGTTGGACTGACACACCTGACGCGAGATGTGATACCGTACGTAGTTGCGATAGGATGATGCCTTCATAGGCTGTCGTAAATTGGAAAGCCTCGGATTGTGCTCAGGCATGTGAAATATATTAGAGTTGATCGACACTGCGTTGGCAAAGCTTTTGATGACATTTGTAAATTAATTATCGGGAGTTCTTAATTATGGGTCAATCCACCACCCCATGCCACTTCCCAGTACTTTGTTATGTACATATACATACACAAAAATAACAGGTAAAATTCAAAAGTGCGCATAAAAATAGAAGCTGCGTAAGGAATTAAAAAAATAAAACAAATATAAATCAAAGTAAGCAGTAAAAGTACAAGGTGCCGTCGACTTCTTTTCGCTCTAGGTCTATTATTGATAAGTCATTCACCCAAAGGCAAAGAAAGGCAAGGCAAGGCAGTTTTGTTCAATACTGTACAGTATACTGTATAGCACATTACATACTCAAGGCAACTCACCGTCCTTCACACAAGCAAAGAAACAACACTTACAAGCATTTTACGAACACAACAGAGGCAAAGCAGAGAAAACAAAAGTATTTCCAACACCTTTAAACACAGCAAAAAAAAAAAAAAAAAGCAAACAAAGAAAAGGACTATTTCCGGTCATGAGTGGAGGAGGCTACGACATCTTCAACACTTGAGCTTCGTGAGTTAATTTTCAACTTTTTTTAATGTTATTTCAATGGCCATTATTGATTTCCTTCTTTTACATGAGGGTACAATGTTGTCAACGTGTGTAACTATGTAGGTGGAATATCGCTATAAAGTGCCTTTGGTATCCCCATCGGAATCAAATCAATCAAAACATCGCAGAATTATAAAACTCTGAGGTTTTAAATGAAGTTGTCAAACATTTGCACATACATACATTTGTACAAACAAAAGTCTCTAAATGTTTCCTTCATTTTACATATTTTTTTTAAATCATTGAATCGATGTGATTTGAGCATTTACCACACACCGCTTTGCTAATTACTTTGTGTCTCAATGAAGTGGTTAAATGATGCTCGAGCAAATCGATATTTGTCTACAAAGTTTTATTGAACATTTATTAAACAAGTTGTTTCATGAAATGAGTCATTTTGATCATTTGATCATTCTGCCATTTGTGAGGGGGACCTCCTTTAGCGTGACGGTGACTCTTTTTTGTGAGGACGTTGCAAGAACAAATGGCTTCAGATCGATGACACATTGATCAACTACTTTCCTACATGTCATTTTGATGAGATCTTTTCACTAAGCATTGGTTTAAAATGCAGATTATTACGGGCCCTCAGAGGTCAGGATGGGATAAAGCACATGGATTACAGGGTTAGACTCACAACCACTGGCTAAAAATAAGCCCCTCGGTTGAAGTCAGGTGGGACATGAGCGAGTTTTTATTACGTTTAGTTGCAGACTCTGCACAGGACGCTGATTTGGGTATTTGATGAAATGAGTTGTCACCACTGTATAAAAATAACTGGATTATACAATCTTCTTTAGATTATACGTCTTCGAAGATTTTAACTGCGCATGGTGTAAAAGTTTGCCATAAGACAAATTGTGGCCACTTGCACATCTTCCAGTCGATGAACACAGAACTACATGCAAAAAAGACATTTGACGTACGGGTACTGTCTCTTGCCAAAAGCATTTGCTGACCTGCCTTGACTCACTCGTGAACTTTCGTGACATCTGTTTCTTAATCAATCAGGTTTGAGAAGACGCAAGTCCACCCTTTGCAACGAGAATAGCTTCAGCTCTTCTGGGGAAGCTTTCCACAAGATTTAGGAGTGCGTTTATGGGAATTTCGGACCATTTTTCCAAAACGTTGCATTTCCGAGGTCACATGCCGATGTCGGGCAATAGGGCGAAGCCGTCCGTCTCTGCTCTAATTCGTCACAAAGGCATTCTGTTGGATTCCCGCTGTCAATAACAGCCGCGATTAAATGTCTTATCAATGTCGTAAAGGCCTGACGTGTGTATTTTTGCCATTTTCAGAAGTGTGCGCTCTTTCTCCTCTGCTCGAGAACCCAGAGTGCAGGATTTATGTCCAACTTCAGCATATTGAGCACCCAGGGATCCTGCTGCGCTCCTCTGATAAACTCTTCCATCGTAATACGACCTGTGGATCAAAGTATAAGAAGAATTAATTCCAAATACTCTTATCTTGAAGGCCTCTCAAAGTTCTTTTGCGGTGTACCACGCTTACCATCCCCATCACTGTCAACAGCCTGCAGTATTCGGTCCACAGCGTCGTCGACTGTGAAATGGCACTCGTTGGTGTCCGCTTTTGTGCCTTTCTTGACACGATAAATGCTCTAGATGGAAACAAAGGCAACATGATATCCATCATATGAAGCGTACTTCCTGTCGAGGCGTCATGGGAGGCCGAAGCGAGTGGCCGGCTCCAACCTGCGATGGTCACCATTGAATCAAAGGAGCTGGTAGCCTTTGATACATTGCCTAAAATTATTTTACTGTAGAAATCCTGATTTTCAAAATCAAAGTCAAAAAATTGCAATCATTCGAGACAACATTTTCCAGGGAAGCCAACAGTCACATAGCAAGTAAACTGAAATACAGTAAATGGCAACAATTGTTGGAATGACGATGATGAAGTTGTTACCAACATGATTAAAAAACTTTGTGACCCCACCTCCCAAAAAAAAAAAAAAAAAAAACTGAATTTGAAGTTTTATGCTGTTACAGTACACTATATCTACAAAGAAGTCACTGTGCCTCGAACGTAATCTTACGTGGATTATTGACCGGAGCTCCTCCTTGTCAACAAAACCGTTGTTGTCTTTGTCATACACCTTGAACGACCAGCGCAGTTTATGCTCCATGTCTCCCCGAAAAACCAGATTCAAGGCTGCTACAAACTCGAGGAAATCTATTGTGTTATCCTGAAAGGGAAGATGGATTAAAATCTGTGATGTTAATGTGGTATTTTTGGGACACGGATTAAAATGTGTATGCTGTATGAATTTAAAAAGATCTTACCCCGTTTGTGTCAAAAGCTCGAAACATGTTCTCCGCATAATCCGAAGCCTCACCCGTTGGATCCACGCCAAAGAAACGCTTGAATTCATGCAGAAAAAGTAGTCCACTCGGGCATTCTGTGACAAATTTTTTATACATATCCTGAAGCGCTTTGACATCGATTTCTTCTGTGTTCTCCGTTTGCTGCGTCTGTCCCATGGTTTGTGTTTTAGTTCTTTTATGCCGTTGGGATGACCTCCATTCTCGAGCGTCCCGACTACAAGTGGGCATCTTATTGACTCTGACGTCCCGTAAAACCCGTGGAATCCCATTGAGCCAGTTTACATTTGAGACAGGTGATTAGTTAGGTCTGGGGATTAAAATGGGATTACCTGGTTGGGGTTTCCTTTCAGTGGGTTTGCCTCGGAGCTAAACGTGGAGGTGGAAGCATGTTCAGCCAAGACTTTTGCTTCATGTCGGCATGAAAATTAGTTGACGGCTGTTGCTCAACGTCAAAACATTGTCGTGGTTATGAGATCGAGTTCCTCTCTATATGTACCTGTCCGGCATGTTTTTTAATCACAATTGCTGTGGCCCGGTATTAAAAAAAAAAAAAAGCTAAGAGCGTAAGACGCTCAAGGCCGTGCTCATTTTGGAATTGGTATATCAATCTCTTTTAATTAGATTGCACTGGGCAAGGGAGACAAATCCTTCAAGAGATGTGCATTGAGATGATCTCCAGGTAGGTCAAATGTAAATAAAGGGTAACACTCGGCAATCGTATTTTGAAAAGCACGCGTGTTTTTGCGGCAGATGAATCCATGTCTGCGCTGACTCAAAAGGTTTCACAGTAGCCCATCAGTTAATTTGGTTCTAGTCTAATCACCGGTACGTCTAATTCATCTTTTAGGAGTTAGAATTTTTGGAATGCTTTTAATCTGTCAAAGAAATGTGGCAATTGGAGGTGAATATGGAAAATTATTCATTATTTTCAAAAATGTGAACGACAGTATTTTGGGAATGGGAATGAGCTGAACATTCTGAAGTCGGAACTGTTTGAATCGGTTCAGAAATGTGGTTGTGCTCTTCTCGCTAAGACATCTGCGCTGAGTTTGAGGTAGAGAGTAAGCGAAACCGAGTGGATGATACGATTCGTCCTGTGGTCAGTTGTAGCTTTTCGGGGGGGTTCAGTACTACTTTTTTTCAGACCAATACCATTATAAGTAATCACACTTCAAGTACTCACCGATACAGAATACCGATACCGCTTGTACTTTTGATATATAAAATTTCATTGACTGTTACACATTGATGAAAAATTGCGAACACAGACTTTTCTTTCAGACGCAGAGGATGATTCGACGATGTGTCACATACTGACGCCTTACCAACTATTGCCAAAGAGGATTTACTCAATGTCGATTTTTTATTTATTTATTTTTTTGCCTTGGTATCCACAGCCTCCTCGAGTACCCAAGACTTTAAAATCAGGCGTGCATCGTTGCATGTCCATACAATCCCAAATATTGACGAAATTGTTTTGATATTTTCAGAGATTGGTGGGGATTGGTTCTCGTTTTCTAACAGTAGGCCACGGTAAGTTTTTTTTACCCGCATATTAAACATTTTAGACTGCCCGCAGGAGCCTCTCCTGTATCATGGAGAGTAAACATATATTAATTAAAATTATTTTCACTTTTGAGTGTCTTGTACGTGTTTTATATTTTCTTCATGAATCCAACCATGATTTTCACAGTGAAAATTGCTCAAAGTGCGATTTCCCTCCAGATGGATTGTCAAATCAAGAGTGGCAGCCAGCGTCCAGCCTCACCTCTGTTGCAGAGAACAATAGCACTATCTATTGGTAGAATTACTGTATTACAACACAAGAGGCTTTCGGCACAGTGAGGGTATGGCAGGTGCAGCTTCATGCATTGGGACTGTTATTCTTCAGGTCGAGCTGGGGCTTACAAGACATTTCCAGATACCAGTCAGTGGTAGCGCAAAACCGTCATGCTTTTGTTAGACAGCAAAATATGTCAGGAAAAGCCAACTAAACCATCTGAAATTCATTTTGGGTTAATCCAAGGCACTTTAAATGGTGGCAGTTGTGTGGTGACCCCCATTTAACATGCATTTGAATATGATTGATTCTGAACCAAGTTAGAGTATAGGAGCTTCTGCACAGTTGTGCAACCACATTATCCATCCATCCATTTTCCAATCCGCTTATCCTCACAAGGGTCGCGGGTGTGCTGGAGCCTATCCCAGCTGTCTTTGGGCAGGAGGTGGGGGACACCCTGAACCAGTTGCCAGCCAATCAGAGGGCACACATTGACGAACAACTATCCGCCCTCACATCCACACCTGCGGACAATTTAGAGTGTTCCATTAGCCTCCAATGCATGTTTTTGGAATGTGGGAGGAAACGGGAGTACCCGGAGAAAACCCATAAAGCCACAGGGAGAACATGCAAACTCCAGTGAGAGGAAGGCCAGAGCCAGAATCGAACCCTACGCTTCCGTACGTGCTAAGCCGTCAACCGCCATTCCTCCAAACACGTTATCTCGGTTGTTTCATTTATTTCCCCTCTTTTAAAGATTTTTCCCCCACTGGAGTTGTACAGATTTTAATTGATTTATCTTGATGTGTTTTTTTTTTTAGATCGCAAAATCCGAGCATCTGAACACGGGTGTTTTGACTCATTTTTTCTGACTACTATACGTGACGCAGATGTGCTGTTACATTGCATCTTTGTTGGTGTCTGTCATTATGGTGGGACAGTGGTCGTATAAAGAAGTGGTTCAAATCAAGTCAGTCCAAATTGAAGGCCCAAGTCACCGTCAAAAAGAACTTACAATCTTGTAAAGATGGGAGAACGTCACTTGAGACCAAGTCGTCCGTTCCAAACGTCTTGACACCAAAGCGTTTACATCATCTCAGCGCTGCCCTTGCGATGTACTTGCATTGTCGTGCACTCGCCGCATAATCCCGTCTTCCTGCGGCCCTGGTGATTAACACGGCATCCTAAAATAATGCCCTCAGATGGTTTGCGCCACGTCAGCAGACTTAATTGTTGATCTTAAATCACCGCCGCGTTCAGTGAGTCTGTGAGAAACGGATCATCTCCCTGCTGAGTCCACAGTTTACCTGATGGATTGTGCTGCTTCAGATGCGATTGGATAGATCGGCCCCGATGGAGCGTCTCAGCAGTCTAAATATTGTGAGCCAAAAGCTGTGAGGGGAGGGGGCGGGGGATTGACCTTGACACCGCGTGCACCATATTTCAAACTGATGATGGAGAATTTTTGTGTTGCGTTTACTCTTGTCGATCCCGCCGCTCTGCTGTCATTTTCATTTCTTCTGCACGACTAACTTCCATGAATGCCGGGATGAAAAATGAATTGACCCCTTTTATATTACTCTTGAATATTGATTTGTAACAGCGGCATTGAGAGTGAAAAGTACCCGATCGTTTTCGCCTTTGAGGATACGACAGTTTAGTCAATCGCCTTCATGTTCCCTTCGACAGCACCCACCTGATTATACAAGTTGACATATTATGTATTTTCTTTTAGATTTTATTCAAAACGGTTCCCAGTGGTCCGTGACATACTTTCTCCACAATACCCAAAAGACAATCCCTGTTTTCCAGTCACCGTTTTGCCAAGTGACCATTATGTTTTCCCCGTTCCCCTTAAAGCTCACGTACATACCCACGCCTACATACTGTATTTGTGATTCCCAATTCACAAATTCGACTATTCGCATTTTGTTCCGTACAACCTATCCTCAGCTATTTGTGGAAAAACTTACCTATTTGCTGTTTTATGCTCATTCTGTCATGCTCTAAGAAGCCACAAGATGATGCCAAAGGATTATTAAGATCTTTTATAGACATTTTGTCTCAGGTAGTTGGAGTCCCTCTACAAACAAGAGCCGACCTAACAAAGCCATGCAGACCGAGAAATTCTCCCAACATGTCAGGGACAAACTTGTTGAGAAGTACAAGTCAGGGAGAACCATCCCTTCCAGCTCATGGGCTTTATGGGAGATTTGGCAGACGAAAGTTGTTGCTTTCCACGAAAAAAATAAGAAAGCCCGTTTTGAGTTTGCAAAAAGACCCGTGGGAGAAACTCCGAAAATGTATAAGAGGAAGGTGCTTTGGTCAGACGAGACAAAAATCGATCTTTTCGACCATCAAAGAAACATGGCAGTGGATGGCAGCATCATGCTGTGGGGACATCACTGACAAACTAGTCCAGGTGGTTGATGCGAAATACAGTGAGATTCTTGAGCAAAATCTGCTCCAGACTCCCAATTCATTTGAAATACGGGTTTCCAGGGGCTTTTTTTTTTGTGTGTGAACAAAACGTGCTCTTGATTGGTCTAAACTTGTACAAGAATGGATCGCGACTTTTCAACAATAGGAAAAATGCGGGTCCCAGGATGACAACAGTTGAGAACCACTTGGTTCTCATGACGTGATGCAAGGTGTTCCTAATGAATGGTCCAGCCGTTCTTCTTCCACGTATCCGTGAATATCGACAGAAGGCCCATGTAGCGCTGTGTGGTCTTGTCAGGTGAACTTACTCGGCGATGAAGATGACGGCGATGACGATGGAGAGCAGAAGGAGGAGGAGGAGGCACAGGCGCTGAGCACGTGTCGACGGGGGGGCGGGGGAGGGGGCGGAGCATCGTCATCCTTTGGCCGCCTGGACGACGCATAGGATGCGGCTCGGACCCGGCCTGACCCAGTCGCTACCGGTCTCTGCGGATGGCGATGTTGTAACATTGCGGATGCGGGGAGTCGACCGTTAGACGGCGTCGCTGACAGCGAACCGGGGACGCGCGTGATGCCGAGCGGTCCAAATCGCCGCCTCTAGCCCGGGGGAGAGGGGAAGAGCTCCTCGCTCGTCTTTCGCCGCCTCGCTGTGTTGCGTGTGAGGTGCGCGGGGCGCCGGATGATCGCCGGCCGGACACGCTGACATTCCCATCTGCGGCCGCGAGGAGCCTGAGGCGGGCTGCCTTGCAGAGATGCAGGTGAAAAATCAGATGTGCGGCGAGCGCATCAGCGGCGGCGGCGACGATGACCCGGAGCAGGACGACGTCAGTCAGAAGAAGATCTCGTGCTTTTCCAACATCAAGATCTTCCTGGTGTCGGAATGCGCGCTCATGCTGGCGCAGGGTACCGTGGGCGCCTATCTGGTGAGTGCATGACTCCCCTTCTTCATCCTCCTCGTCATCATCAGATCCATTGGCTGTGTTATGTGCGCGTCCTTCAAAAGCGCAGACAAGGCCGCGCAATAAGAATGAGCAGCAAACGGGCAGACGAGGCCTTTGCAGCAGCCGCGTCGTAGCTTCTCCACGTTGTTGTTGTTTCCGAACGGCGCCTTGCAACGAGCTTCCCAACCTGCCTAGTGCATGCAGGATGTCACCGGTATACAGTAGATGACTGCGGGTCCTTAAAGTCTGGACGCAGTCAACATTTTCACTTTATGGCACGTACCAACCCTGGCATGTTGTTTTCATGATAGACTTTTATTCAATGGTGAGAATCATTATTTGTGTAGATGTGACCTGGGGATTGGCTGGGGACCAATCCAGGTTGTACCACACCTCTCATCTAAAACTGGGCTTTGATAGGCTCCAGAATCTCCCAATCTGATGAGGATAAGCACTATATGAAATGGATAAGGGACATTTTGTGCCTTTGCTGTACCTAACATGTAAACGACAACATGACGTCTTTGCTTTTCATGTATCATTTTGCAAGACGAATTTTGTTTATGATTCAATGACATTCAAGAGACTGTTTGTCTGTGGTGCCGTCATGAATAATCTGTGGTTTTCTTATCATATACACATAGCATCATATATACACCGTCTGATGAATGATTTATTAAATAAAGTAGGTTTTTGTGGGTCGGGGTGGACTTTTTCCCTCATTTTCCACGGATTGATGTTCATCAGTGTTTTGAGAAGAATTTTTATGGTTTAATAGTTATGATTTACTCCCAATGCTTATCAATGGCCGTCATTTATAAGCGAATTTTGGCTATTCGTGGAACAGGCTGGTCCCAGTCGTCCACGAATAGCAGGGTGTCGACTGTACAATAAATACATTGGTCCACCTTCGGATCAGTTATCGGTGACCATCCTTTTTCTTTTTTTAAACTCAGTGATCAGATCCAAAATCCTAATCATGTAAAACCAAATCGTGAACCCTCACAACCGTTGGTTGTTTGGAACCAAACCCTACAGAGACCCGCAAAAAAGTTTGCATTCCCTTGCAAAGTTTTGCGTTCTCTTGCAAAGTTTGCGAGATAACGCAAACTTTTTTTTTTTTGCAAACTATGAAAAATGAATAGCTTTTAGTTTATTTGCGCAGGACTGCAAGGTGTGCATGTTGCTGTAAAAATATTAGTGACTACTTTCCTTTTCTTTGACCCATTTGATTCAATATTCAACTCAGTAGTACACATAATGCACTCATTTATTTTATGAAAATATTGCAAAGGGCTCTTTCTTCTTGTTACTGCTCTCCTTTTTGGCATTTACTGTACCTTACCTGAAACAGTGTCAGCTTTAAAAATGCCCCTCCCACACAATGCAATCACGTGTATACGTATTGATTCAAAACTAATAAACATTTCAGAAAATAAAATATATAAGCATAAAAAAGTATATTAGCACCATGATAGGTCGGAGAGGATCGTTTTGACATTTTGGTTTGGGGGGGGGGGGGATGCCGTGAAAATGTTTCTCATTGCTGACCAGCACCACATATCGAAGAGGGATGAATGGACTTGTCTTGTGCAGATTCAAAACTGAATATCGGCCTACCGGTACATGCGTTTAAATCCGGGAGGTCTCTTTACGGTCAAAGGCTTGTGTAATTGGCTGCGTCCCGCGTTTGGCGTCGTGTTTGCTTCTTCCCTTTGTCCACTTGAGTGCAATCAGTGCAATGCATTACTCAGCCACATGAAGCCGGGAAAGAGAAATGATTGATGATTCCCGTGTTGTGTGTGTGTGTGTGTGTGTGTGTGTGTGTGTGTGTGTGTGTGTGTGTGTGTGTGTGTGTGTGCTTGCGCGTGCGCGTGCGCGTGCGTGTGCGTGTGTGTGTGTGTGTGTGTACACGCTGCATCCTTTGCCAGGGTTTTGTTTTTGTCTCTCCGCCCATTTAGCTTTGAGCAGTTTTTAAACGATTTGGAAACTTTTGTTACAGCAGTCCAACACAGGTAGGTAGGTAAGCGCCAGACCTCCCTCGACCCCCCCCCCCCCAAAAAAACTGGGTTTTTTTTGCATGCTGGCATTGGCTCAGGAAGCACACTTACTTTGGGAAATGGAAACACTGTGTCCGTTTTGAATGTCAATTCAAAATCCATTATCATTTTGCAGCCAAATTCGTCCTTGAACGTTGCCAGAATTAAAAGTGCACTTCTCTTGTTCATTTTCCCCAAACTATTTATCTTTTTTTTTTAATGCTGCCTGTTTGTTTTCTGTCTGTCTTTCAAGGGCAGATGATTGTGTTTGTTGCTGTTGTTTCGTTCCTTCATTTTCTAAACATTTGGAATGTCTGAAGGTCATGGCCGAACAGCAGCAAGACCCCATTGCAACTTGGTTTTGAGCGGACTAAAAGAGGACTGTTTTTACAATTAAAAAAAAAAAAACAACAACATGAAGTTGATGAAGTGATGTGAGCGAGTCCACATGACAAGGAAAAAAAATTGCCCATGTACTCTTTCTGTTTGTATAATGTGTGGAGAACAATAAATACGACTCAAGTGAAGTGCCGATACTTGAAAATCTGCAGTACCGACAGTAAGCACAGCAATGAAATGTTTGGGCTTTGTTACTTGTCACCAATTCTCTCAAGTCATTCGGCACAGCAGCGGCTCTTCCTGCTAACTCAACAGCTGGTCTTCTCTTTGTGCATTTTCTTGCCAGGTGAGCGTCCTGACCACGTTGGAGAGGCGCTTCAACCTACAAAGTGCCGACGTGGGCGTCATCGCCAGCAGCTTTGAAATCGGGAACCTGGCCCTCATCCTTTTCGTCAGCTACTTCGGCGCCAAAGCTCACCGGCCGCGGTTGATTGGCTGCGGCGGTATCGTCATGGCGCTGGGGGCGCTTCTGTCCGCCTTGCCCGAATTCCTCACCCACCAGTACGAGTACGACGCCGGCGACTCGTGGCACGCGGAGGACGGCCGCGACGTGTGCTCCAACAGTTCACGCTCAGACAACAACGACTCGGCCTATAAGTGCGGCGACCGGGCCAACACCAACATGATGTACCTGCTGCTGATCGGCGCCCAGGTGCTCCTTGGCATAGGTGCCACCCCTGTCCAGCCTTTGGGGGTGTCCTACATTGATGACCACGTCCACAGGAAGGACTCCTCTCTGTATATAGGTAAGCGACGCCGGAGGTAGGAGCAGTGGCTGACTTTGGCTTTTATCCTTGGGTCATTGGGTGGACAATCCGGTATTTTATCCACTTAATTCCAAAAAGAAGGTGTGCGCGCATGCGCGCACACACACACACACACACACACACACACACACACACACACACACACGCTCCATCCTGTCTGCCAAAGTTGCTAAGGCAACAGTGCAGAGGCAGACAGCGTGTGAGGATGCTCATGTTCCTCTTCATCTTGGAGGGACTGAATCACTCTGAGACCAAAGAGAAAGGAAATGAAATAAAAGCCACGTGTAATGGTGCAGATCTCCTTTGACTTCAGTGTTTCCCAACCTTTGCTGAGCCGAGTCACCCATTTTACATAGAAAAAATATATAAATCCCACGAAACATCAGCAGCAAAAGTACACGAACATACATACACACACACACACACACACACACACACACACACACACACACACACACACACACACACACACACACACAGTGCAGAAGTGCAGGGCCCAATTTTCGGCTCTGGCCTTCCTGTGTGGAGTTTGCATGTTCTCCCCGTGCCCCTGCGTGGGTTTTCTCCGGGTACTCCAGTTTCCTCCCACATTCCAAAAACATGCATGGTAGATAAATTGAACAATCTAAATTGTCCCGAGGTGTGAGTGCGAGCGTGAATGGTTGTTCGTCTTTGTGCGCCCTGCGATTGGCTAGCAACCGTTTCAGGCTGTCCCCCGCCTTCTGGCCAAAGACGGCTGGGATAGGATCCAGCCCCCCCTCTCGCGACCCTTGTGAGGATAAAGCGGTTCAGAAAATGGATGGATGGATGGACAGACAATGGCTCATTTGATGCCCGGCGTTGTTGTTTTGCAGATCTCTGAGCGCCAAGTCACGCCTGGCGTGTAAGCGAACCCTCTGAATAATGCAGTGTGACACAGAAGCAGTTAGGAGTTGTTTAGCAAACACGGCAGCCCACCATTAAATATTAAGCACCAACACTTGGTGCCGAGAAGCGAAGGCTGCCTGCGGGCGCCCGGCCGATCGATAGCCGCCTCCGAGTGCGATCGAGTCCACTGGGAGCACTCCGGCAACTACTTAGTACTTAGCGATTGACCGAGGGGAGCTGGCCCACAATGCACCTGTGTCGCCTCGGTGTCTGTGTCTCCTTATTAAGGTCAACCAGTCACATCCATAAATCGTTTCATTTTGTTTCTATCTCCAGTCATGTTCTCATTAGCTCCGATGCGCCAAGGTGAAATACAAACGTTGGGACACATTTCTTTTCCTCCTTGTTTCCTTCAGTGCTTTCAAGCTCCCCCATACACTCCTTCCTCCCTTCTACCCCGAGTTCCTCCCTTCTTTCTTACCTTCTTTTCATATAACCTTCATTCCTTCCTTCAGTCTTTTATCTTTTTTTTTGCGTGCTTTCTTGTTTAGTTCCTCTTTTCTTTCCTTCCTACCTTCATTCCTTCCTTCTTTCTTTCCTTCCTTCCTGTTTCACTACCTCACAGCCTTCCTTGAATCTTTGCATCCTACTCCTCCTCCTTCCCCTTCCTTTGTGTATGCCTACTCTGTACTGAATGTTGTTTTCATTCTGTTTGGCCTTAGTGAGTTCTCAAAGAGTGGATATTCGTACCGGTATCGGTCGGGAGGGGGAAAAAAAAACATCCCAAGTCCTTGCTTTTGGCACGATGTCATGCTCATAAATATCAGTCCAGATGAAAAAAAACTTTTGAGAATATCTGTAGAAACTTAAGGAGAATAACAAATTCGGTAAAGATTTGCTTCCAGATAATTAAAAAAAAGTGGGGGGAAAATAGCCATTTTTGCAGAAACATGAACTAATCACACTTATCTGCACTCTTCCCCGCCCGCTTGGCTTTTGAGGATGGATGAGCACGACTCGAGCATCCACATTGCAGACGCATACGAAAGAGGCTCGGAAAAAATTGGAATTGGAATGTTCACATTGCATGACAAAAATCTGAAAACTGTCACTTAGGGTATAAGCAAAACAAAAAGAATAATAATAATCTGAATCGAGCTGCCATAAACATAGCCTAAGAGGCACTTTGACGATTAGAGCATGTACATTTCTTAATATGATATTCATACAGTGTCTTTTCTAAGGCTCAGATAATAACTCCGATCAAAATGGGTGACCGCAGTTGAGAAGCAGTGCAATAGAGGATGCCAAGCCACAATGGACTTGTTTGGAGGGGCAAAAGAAAAGCCACAGCATCTCTCTCTCTCTCCTCTTTCCCGGCCGTAATGCGTGTAATGAAGCGCTGCGAGACCACTGCAGCAAAATGTTTGCACTGCGCTGGAGGAAGCGGCGGACACTGACTCAGCACTCGATCCGGGCTCGCCTTTTCATTGGTGCACCTTTGCCGCCCTGCCTCCGAATGCTGCCGTGTGAAATGATGACTGCGACCTCATCCCTCTCTGTGGCTTTCATTACACAACGCGACCAACTGGCCAGCACCTTTGTTCCCCTCTTCATTCCATAATACCATCAATATGTCATACGCAGCGTTTCTTCCACAGTGGCCTCCTCTTTTCAACTCTGCACCCCCATTATTCGCACCGTGCGGAGATGTCATTTGCTCTTTTTTTTTCCTTTCTTTTTCACTTTCAGCTTAAAATAGTTGGCAGATATTTTTGGAACATCTCTGTGACGTGCTTTCGTCGACCACTTCAAATGAGCGATCGAATAAGTGCGGCTTATCAAAAGCTTACGCTGGTAGCCAAAGCTAATCTCTCCATCCAACAAAACTCAATGCAGCTCGGCTTACATTTTGATTTCGCTGTCGTGTTTCACCCCACTTGCACCTCAAATGCATTGATACAGTTGCAATAATTATGTATCTGTTTTTTTTGGGGGGGGGGATTTCTATAAAAATGGAGGAGCATGGAAAATGCAAGATCATTATTTCATCTTCTCTCACTGTGCACAATGTATCATACAATGATATAGTACAATACATCACAATATACATCTTTAGTCCCACTTGCAGTTTCCAGTAACCTGCAAGATGATTAGCAAACACTTTCATTCGATCACGTGATTTTTGTCTTTTCATTTTTTTCTATTGAACTGTTCCTATATCATCAAAGTTAGTGAAGATGTTCCTCCCTGCTGTCATTTGTCCTTTTCGAATCTCTCTCATCACCAAGCTCGGGGGGCTCCTCTTTGTTTGGTGACCTTCCCCCTCTCTTATTTATTCAAGTGGACAATCTGTCATGCTGCCACCTGCAAATGTCTGACCACCACTACAACAAAACAAGCCAGAAGTCAGCCATCATTAGATCCTACCACTGAGCTCAGCTACGCACCAGGAAAACCGCACTGATTAAATTAGGTCATAATAAAACAAGAATGATAAACTGTACAGATGACGTGAGTCATTGTTGATTCATTTTAAATAGCTGAACTAATCCTGGTTACAGTGTCACCACCTTGTTGCCGGGCAGAATTCACAGTACCGGTACTGTATAATAACTGCTCCATAGACCAATAAAAAAAATGAACAAGCCTTGATGAATTCAAGTATGGAATATAAATGAAAGAATTCCCTTTTTTCCTGTCACGTTTTCAACACGTTGTTGCCTGGCAGAATTCATAGGGCTCGATTTGATTTGCCCGATATTTCAGTTATAAATGAAAGAATTCCCTTTTTTCCTGTCACGTTGTCAACACCTTGTTGCCTGGCAGAATTCATAGGGCTCGATCTGATTTGCCCGATATTTCAGTTAACCCCAAAAAAGTCAGAGTTTGTAAGGCTCAATCCGAGCTCTCCCGTAAGGCCGATTTTAAATTTATCATATAGATTAGCTGGCAGGATCAGGAAATCAAAACAGTCGCTAATCAAAACAGCAGCACAGACCGAAGCATAAAAACAGCCCTTTAACATGTTGTTTAGGGGGTCCTTGTTGCCAGGCAGACTTCATAGGGCTTGATCTGATTTGCCCTATATTTCAGTTTTACCCCCAAAAAGTCATATGTGCCCTGTACTACAACACACACACACACACACACACACACACACACACACACACACACACACACACACACACACACACTCAGACGTGAGACTGATCTCAAAACTGTTTGTGAAACAGTTGAATTCGTATTAAATATTCAGTAAAATGCATGCTGGCCAGAGGCAGAAAACATAGGGCAGATCAAATTCTGATCTATCTTTTTGGAAACTGTGTTTGTTATTTGGCCAGATAGCAATGTTGATTTGTAGTGTTGCTTCCTTCTAATGTGTTTTCCAATGTCCTCATAAAGGCCCGCCTTTATTCTTCCGGTATCATATTACACTGATTGCCTCTCCCATCTGCCGATGTTGCGGCAACATCAATAAGTGATTTACGCCGATGCCAGAGTGCTCATTACAAGTTTTATAGTGCTGTGCGGCTGGATTAGAAGAGACGTTTAATACGTTGAATGGGTGATTTAATTGTGTACATTTGGCTGAATATTGAAAACGGCAACATGAACCCATCACACAGTTCATATTTGTGTCAGTTACCTTATTGCCTTTATTTATTGCAATCATTTATTTATTTATTTATTTTTATCAAAGTTGGGAGATGAAATTGTGTTTCTTTATTCATTTTTTTTAATCCGTCCCATTAAATAATTGTTTCATTGATTTAATTGTAAATATTATAATAGCGAAAGGATTGATTAGTTCATTATATTGAAATTAAATATAAACGGTTTTTTTTCCTCTGAGAAGCAATGGTTTTGGAAGTATGGCAAAAGACAATACATGTGCATCATAACTGATTTTTTTTTTTCATCTACAAATGGCCTGGTCCATCTGTCTGCTTCAAAAATCAAAAGTGGCCCAAAGATTTGGTGGTGCCGGTGTACCTAATTATTGTCTGCTTGCTTGCTGTGTACGAGCAATCACTTTCGTGGGCCCTGCACTGCGGTCAGACAAGTTGAAACTTGAGACAAGTTGCTGCTTGATTATTTATGATGGTGCAGACTTATCAATAAATAATTGAGCTGCACATTACACACAGTTCAAACACATCCATCTCAACAAGAGACATGATACGGTCTTGAAAATCTCAAAGGTCAAAATGGTAACACAAGATACATTCATACTGTTTTACAAATGATCAGGTAGTGAATACGAAAGCAGACAATTCATCTAATTAGAGTTGTAGCTATTAAATATCATGTAATTATGTCACATTACAGAAGTATCAATATGTGGTAGGTAGGGGGTGTATAGAAGATTAAGTATTGTGTAAATATGGTAGATTGGTGATGTAAATGTGGTACGTTAAAAGTTTCCATCAATTTTGATGTCAACAATTGTACATTCGTGATGTATAGACATTATACATGACGTCAGTATGGTACATTAGAGCTGCATTCATGTGAATATTGTACATTAGCAGTGTAAAGACATTAACTGTTATGTAAAAAAATGTTCACAAAGGGTATATGGACATATAATATGTGGATATGTAAAACGCCAAAGGTTCATTAGCTCATCCCAAATAATGTACAGTATATTGATGCGTTATCACTGTGTGGATTTGAAGGCGGGCTCCATTTTACGTCATTCAAGCAGAGCCTTGGTTGAGTGGCGCCATCTGCTGTACAGTGAGCTGAATACACTCTGATTTGTTTTCCGGCTGTCGTTGTCTTGCAGGTATTTTATTCTCCACCTTAGTGTTTGGGCCCGCGTGTGGCTTCATCTTAGGTTCCGTCTGTACCAAAGTCTACGTTGATGCCGTCTTCATCGACACCAGTGAGTTTGTTTGTTTGTTTTTTTTCAAGTCAATATTGAACACAATTGTGGCTGACCGGTTAGCACATCCGGTACAGAGAATGGATGGATGGACGGAAATGTGTAAAAAAAAAAAAAAAAAGTTAGTTTGACCCACAGCACTGTAAGACTACAGCCATAAAAAGACTCTATGAATGATATCCTCAATACAGTATAATAAAGTGACATGGTCCTCATGCCCCATCCAGGTAAACTGGACATTACCCCAGAAGACCCTCGGTGGATTGGGGCTTGGTGGGGGGGCTTCCTCCTGTGCGGTGCCTTACTCTTCCTGTCGGCCCTCTTCATGTTCGGCTTCCCTCAGGCACTGGATGAGCAGGGCCTGGACGGTGGGGGGGAGAGCGAGCAGGCCATGCTGCCTTCTCCTCTCAGTCTGGACTTCCAGGACAAAGCGCGGGTTGGGATCCACGGCTTTGACTTGAACAGTGGACTCTCCGTATGCCAGCATCTCAGAGGTGCAGTACATACAAAGTACAGTATTTGATATATCATCTAAATATGCTATGTCAGCAATTAATAAAATCATGAAATATTTTGAATATTAAATATAAGGCTAATATAGTATATATGTATATATATATACATACATTAAATCTGGAAATATGCTGTATTAGGAAAATATTCATACTTTTTATTGACCCTTGTACAAAATGGGGGAACATTTTAGGATTTTGGGAAGGGGGGTCAAGAAAAATAAATCACGGTGTACCGTATGTTACATTAGAGGATGCAATATGGCACATTTGAGGTGCACATAGATTAAACGTGACGTATTCATGAAAACACATTGCTCATATCCTCCATTTTGAATTGTGTTTGTTTGCAGTGATCCCAAGGGTGACCAGGCACCTTTTGTCCAACCCGGTGTTCAGCTGCATCACGCTGGCTGCCTGCATGGAAATTGCTGTGGTCGCCGGTTTTGCCGCTTTCCTGGGCAAATACCTGGAGCAGCAGTTCAACCTCACCACCTCTTCGGCCAATCAGCTGCTAGGTAGGCGGGGCATTGGCCTCACCCGTTCTCACCCATTGTAACTTTCTGAGGTAAAACGTGGCGGTGGGGTGGTGCTTCCAGGCATGACGGCCATCCCGTGCGCCTGCCTGGGCATCTTCTTGGGCGGGCTGCTGGTTAAGAAGCTGAACCTTTCGGCCCTGGGCGCCGTGCGTATGGCCATGGGTGTCAACCTGGTGTCCACGGCCTGCTACGTCTCCTTTCTCTTCTTGGGCTGCGACACTGGCCCCGTCGCCGGGGTGACGGTCGCCTATGGTAACGAGTAAGTCAGGTCACAATCCCGTGTCTGTCAACATGGATGCTGCTTCGGGACATGCTATTAAAAGCACTCCTACTATACTATGATGACTACAACCAACAATGCCACTACCCGACTACTCCTAATACTAATACTGTACAACACTAATACTGCTTCTCCCAGTTTTCAACTCCCCTCCACTCCTTCTACAACTATACTTCTGCTATTACTACCACCACCACCATTACTACAACTACTGCTACCATACTACTTCTACTAATAGTAGTAGACTACACTACCACTGCTTTGAGTACTCAAACACACCACTCCCACTATTACTGTTCTTCTGCTAATTCTCCCATTACTTCCACCGCTACTATTACTACTTCTACTACACTGCTCCTACTTCTACTACACTACTACTGCTATTACTATTATTTCATCTACTACTACTTACTGCACTACCCCAACTAACATTACTATACTACTACCATTTGTACTTTAATGACTCCTGATTTTACTACCACTACCATTGACTATTTACAACTAGTTCTTACTACTACTATTAGCACTACTACTTACTACTAGAACTACGACTAACATTGCTGTACTACCACTACTTGTACTTTGACGACTACTACTATTGTTACTGCTACTAGTACTACTATTACTAGCACTACACCACTACATCACTGCCACTACGGTAACTACATTACTACTGCTATGACTAGTACTACTATTAGTATTACTGTTTTTACGAAAAACAGATAATGCTACAACAATTCCTACTACCATTACTGCACGACATACTTCTACCCTTAGGATGACTATTATTAATGTACTTATTCTAAAGAAGAGACACGATGTCGCATTTTGTCACGAATGTGTCTGAATGTACAATCTAGATTGCTGTGACATGTGTTGCAGGACGCTGCGGCACTGGCAGCGACCCGAGTCTCCTTGCATCAGCAGCTGCAACTGTTACACAGCCTCGGTGAGCCCCGTGTGCGGCTCCAACGCCGTCACCTACCTCTCTGCCTGCTTCGCCGGCTGCACCAAACCAGTGAGTGGGCACACACACACACACACACACACACACACACACACACACACACACACACACACACACACACACACGGAAACACAGGTGCTTACTGATGTTTTCACGCTTACACCTCATAACACAAATGAGAAATATAGTGAATAATGTTAAGTTACCTACTAGTCTGGAAGTGCCCCGTTGTTACATTTGTTAGGGTGGATGTGGTACTGACAGACACTTAACTGATTGAAAAAGTTTCATACCTAATGTGTCGATCGAGTTGGGATGTGATGGGGGCGGTAGAGTCTTCAATTGTGCAATCATAATAAAATTCTCGATTCATTTTATTTTAAGTGAATTGCTATTTTATCATTACCAAGGACACTTTTCTTCGGGTTTATGTTACATGCGCATGCACAATTTCTTTTTTTTTTTTTTTTTTTGGTGTATGATTTGACCTATCAACAAGCGAATGACCTGCACTCTGCACAAAATGGAGCCTTAACGGTCCCGCATGCTGTTAGAACCTGACAGGTTGCGCGTGCATATCGAGCAGCGTTGAGGAGGCGGTGGCTCTGCCAGGCAAGTGTCCGAGTCCAGGCTGCCAGCAGGCCTTCCTCACCTTCCTGTGTGTCATCTGCCTGTGCAGCATGATCGGCGCCATGGCCCAGACGCCCTCCGTCATTATCCTCATCAGGTCAGGACCGTGACCCTTCAACGACAAAGTGTATATACTGCTTTAATGCAGATCACAAGCATCAGCTCATGGCCAATCATTTGTAGAACTACTACTGCCGCTGCGACGACTACTACTTTGTTCTGTGCTATTACTTTGTTGATCTCTTGGCTTCTTTAGGACTGTGAGCCCCGACCTGAAGTCCTATGCCCTGGGGGTCCTCTTCCTGCTCCTGAGACTCATCGGTAAGGTGACACACAGCAACTCTCTCTTCACATATCACACCCCGGCACCTGCCATAAACTCACCACACTACTTCTACTACTATTATTTCACTGTGAAAAACACAACTTGTGTTTCTGGGGGCAAAAATAACACTTTAAGTTGGAACAACATAAAGTATGACACACATTTTGTGTTTACATACAAGACGTGCCTCGTTTTTAAAACATCGTTAGCTGCTCATGCTAAAGTCAATGTAATATCCCGTTGGAATGCTAAAGAGAAATTAGCATCGGCTTCGGAAGTGATATTCCTTCAGATAACTAATATTCACACACAAACATTGTGGAAACACATGCACATCGGTACTACTACACGACTCAAAGGCACAAATTCTTCCCAATTTGTGCAAAACGTTTTATATTGATAGAATTTGCTCGCAACTTCCTTCTGTTTTCATTCTAAACGTGTACTTCATCCATACACGGCACCACACTGCCCCTAAGAGGCCAACATGTGCAGGAACAGCCGGTAATTGTTTTTTTCATTTGCTATTGTTTGCATATACTGTACAGTACAGTACAGTACTCTAATTAGACTTTCTTACCAATTTATTTACTCGTGCTCCTTTGAAGTTATATTTAAAATTACGTTTTCAAGGATCCAAGAAATGTACGTTTCCTCTAAATTCAAGTATACAAAGATCCAAGGACTTTTTTTTTGTCCTACCAACACACATTTCCACATGACACGGCACGAAATACGATTGAGCCCCCAAGGCCCAAGTTAGATAGATAGATCGGACTTCCTGGGCTATCTATCAATCCGTCCATCCATCCATCCATCATGACTGTTATTCCAGATACCACTATTTTTAGATCTACTGCTGCTGACAATAATAATGCTATGGTCCCCGCTCCAGGCTTCATCCCACCGCCGCTGATCTTTGGCATGGGCATCGACTCGACATGCCTGTTCTGGAGCTCGGTGTGTGGCGAAAAGGGCGCCTGCCTGCTATACGACAACGTGGCCTACCGCCACCTGTACGTCAGCATCGCCATCGTGCTTAAGTCGTCGGCCTTCCTGCTCTACGCCACCACGTGGCAGTGTTTGAGGCGCAACTACAGGAAGTACATCAAAAGTAGCGAGGGCTACCTGACGCCCACCGAGCTCTTCTCCTCCAACATGACTCTGGACCGCCTGGGCAAAGAAGCAGCCCACTCGGATGCCGCCAGCCGGACCAAGTTCGTCTTCAACTTGGAGGACCAGGAGGTGTCCGACAACATGGAGTCGGTCTTGTAGTTGCAACAGTGACTCGCCTGGCAGTATTCTCCTCATCAAGAGCCTCATCTTCCTCTTCGCCGCACAGAAAGGTTGCACTAAAATCATTTTCATTTTTTACTGAAGGGTGGACATACTTGAAATTAATTTGAACTTATTTTTCAAACTTAGCAGCATTTATGTCAAGGGTAATAATGCCACTGTCCAATTAAAAGCATGTAGCTCCACATTTTTAGCTGCCAAAACAAAAAGGTTTTTTGGTTTGTCTGAAAGGAAAAAAAAAAAATCAACATATAGTTTGAGCTGAGGGGAAAAAAAAAGTTATTTTGTCTGAAAAAAAAAAAAATTTCTAGAGGTTAAAAAAACAAAATTGGTCTGAAACAAAACTTATTTTCGACAATTTGGAGACTCGTGTTTTTTTTTTTTAAATTGGACACCAATCATATTCATGTGAACATTACAAATAGGTTTAAAAACACCATTAGGCATAATTATTTAAATAAGATGCTATTATATATTGTGTATTAATGTGAAAATGTTTTAGACTATTTTATATTAATAATAATTAAAATCAACTATTGAGAGTGATTAGATTAGTCTAATTTATCATTTGTAGCTACTCAACTAACAATTAAGTGACAAGTTGTGACACTTGAATATGGAATTTGCACATTTTGTTTCAACACAAGTGGATTTTATTAGTGGATCATCGTTTATTCGTAAGCCATTGATGAAAATCAACAAGAGCACGAAGGCCATCGCAGTTAGAGTGGAACCTCTAAAGTCCAAATTCAGATTTCCTGTCGAAAATAATGAATGTAGAATTTGTCAGTTTCTGGGCCAAACAGCAAAGCTGGCAGTTTTAATAAACGTGTTAAGGTACTGCAAGTGTAAATCGTAAGGAACCACAGTTAGCAGTCAAGAGGAGTGGACTGGAGTCATATCGCTTTGAATGTGACATCACTTCCTGCGTATGTTCTTCTCTTGTTGAGCCAAAGAAAACGCCAAATACCTGCAAAGTTGATCATTCGATGCTCACTGAACAGAAGTCTGAACTTTTTAAGTGCATGGAGAGCAAAGGTGGGAGACAATGATACATTTATTTATTCATCTATTTAGCTACAAAGGGGGGAAAAAATCTTACGGAATTTGAATATCAAATAATGAAAAGATTCAGGACAATTGTAAATGAATAAACTATTCAAACAACGAATATGAAAACAACTACTGTACAAAGGACATCGACAAGTGCAAGTCTAAAAGCAAATAAATCAGGAGAAAACTTACACTGCAAAACATCAAAAACAAAACAGCATTAGAATGTCAAATGCATTTCCAAAAACAAATGCCATTGTCAAACAACAATATTTAACGACTATTTGAAAGTGCTCTATAAATACAGTTGAGTTGAGTTTAAAAAGCATCAGAGGACAACAAAGCAATCAACGCATCAATGAAAATATCATGGAGAAGGAACTACATAAAATGAAATTGTCAGCGGTGAGGGGGGGAAGAAAGCAAATGGAATGGTAAAAGTGACCTTGAAGGAAATTTTAAAAGCCACCAAGGAAAATTAAAAACATCATATACAATTCATCAAACCAATTGTCCCGTTCAAGTGGACTTCCGAGGTTCTACCACAACACCTTCGACGTAGCGTGTTGTTTTCAGTGTAGCAAACGGCACAGCCTATGTATCACACAACAAAAACAACAACAACAACATCCTCATGGACATCATCTACTGAAAAAATATCCAAAACCGGGAGCTACCATATCCGCCGTCCTCCGCCTCCCTCCCACCGCGCGTGTGTGTTCGTGTACATACCAAGTGCCAAAGTGACGCATCGCCATGGACCAACGCCACAAACCTCCTCCAGCTTGTATGTAGCCTCACCGCGACCAATGGCGCACATAAGCAACGTCTTGGATGTGTCCGTGCTCTCGAGGAAAGTAGGATGACGTCACTGCTGCTCGGTAGAACTTTCATCCGGTGGACGTGCGATTTTCCGTTTGCATCCCCCCTCCAAAAAAATGGCGGACGAATGAGCGTAACTGACTTTAGCGTGCCTGGGACGTCCTCGACGACCGTTTTGTTCATGCCGTGACAACACCGGCAAGAAGAAGTAGTAGACGCTGTTGTTCTTTTAGCACTTCAAATGTTTTTTGCCTTGTGATGCGAAAAAGTAACCTTTAGAACAGCAATGCCTTTTTTTTTTTAATTGTACGAATGATGATGCAGATTTCTTGATATGTTTCATTATTCCTGGTACTTTTTTGGGGGGTACCTGATTTATGTCCACATTTCTCAACACATTCAAAACCATTCACAAAATACCATCTTGGGAACCATTTCCCCACATTCACAAAATTCCTACTTTTCGCCAAAATTCCACATTTTCCATGAAAATAAATTACCTTGAAATGAGACATTTTTCAAAATTACCGCAAAATGCAGTGAATAACTCGCACCCGTGTCGAATACGCACCCTCCCCCTAAAATCAACCTTAAAAATCATTTTTTTTTCCTGTTTGTAACTGCTTTTAAAAATACTTTTGATTACAGTTGTTCTTAATTTAGGCTATTATGAAATGCGCTACAAATCAGTGTTTTTTTTAACAACCCCTACGTTCTGCCCTAGTTGCTGGTAAACATCTAAACAATGTGAAAATTTTTTGTTTTTTTATTGAGCTCCCTTTATAATGCCCCACTCTAGATTTTGTGAGTGTTATTCACGGGATTTACAGGAACTCACCCTACATTTCTCAACTTCTTCAACCCATTCCAACTCGAAACTGTTCAGCTCACTCAAGACATTCCCTACCCATTCCCCAAATTACCATTTAATTTAGTATTCTGCATTTTTCCTGAAAATGTTCGTAAATTATTGGATACATTTCATTCTAAAATCCTCTGCGGTGAAGCTTTGTTTCAGTCACATTTTTTTTCATCTTTATTTCCCCATTTCAATTCATTGCACATTTCAGTTCTGCATCAGCTCTTTCTATAGAAATTTGCATCCTCTAGTCATGATGATGAAATGATTTTCTGTTTTTATGAACGTGCATTGTGGTCGCCTGGCAGTAGGTAAACTTTTTTTTTTTTAACTTTGGGAATGACATCTTCAAAATTAACAGCACGGTTCATTCGAGGCGAGGTGTTTTTCTGCATACGGACGGACGCATGTTCCCTTCAGCTAAGAGAAACCATACAGTAAGTGGGGATTTTCCCTGAAGTGGTTCATTTGCTGATTGTGTGCAGATGACCTTTTATGCAGAGGAGAAAAAAGGGCATTTAAGTTTGAAAAATATCACTTTGTTTTTTTATTAAGTTGGATTTTTTTTTTTTAAATTTCAACGACATGAATTTGTATTTTTTTAAAAAGCTTTACGTGCTGTATATTCTTTGGAAAGGATTACGATGATTGTATGTTCCTTGTATATAAATTAAATATACTATTTTTGCTTTTAATATTACGCCACCCTTGCTTGATTACTGTTACATGAGGAAAAAAACTGCCAGGTTACCATTTCGCCGTATAAAATAGTTTAGGTTCCTTTTTTTTCTGAATCAAGTAACATATAAACTATTTAGTATTTATCATTTTACCTCAAGTGATTTTTTTTTGCGTGTTTAGAAAGTAGTTTCTGTAATTTTATACATAAACATTTAAAATACTGCCAATTAAAGAGTTTGAAAAATTTCATTAGGTAGAATAATTTCAGAAATTGTCCCAGATAGATACATAGATAGATTAGCTACCTAGATAGATAGATAGATAGATAGATAGATAGATAGATAGATAGATAGATAGATAGAAAGATAGATAGATAGATAGATAGATAGATAGATAGATAGATAGATAGATAGATAGATAGATAGATAGATAGATAGATAGATAGAGTAAAATCATAATTCTCTCAATCCAGGACATAGTGTACGGAGAAATTATATCACATTTTTCTCTGTAACAAAATTTCCCAAAAGACAAAGACATCTTTCAAATTTTCACCATCTCTGAGTAAGTTGTATGTCAGTCTAGTGGTCAAGAATAGAATTACATCCAGAATAGACTAGCCCAACCAGTCGATTGCAGTCAACCAGCAGTCCATGTACTGGTCGACCACTAGAGGTGTAGGGGTAAATTGAAAAAAAAAATGTGTGTGTCTGCATGGGTGTTATTAATATTACATATTTTTGTGTTAGTGTACACTAGACCCCTATCTTGTTAGTTTAACTTTCAGCCCCCAAAAAATAATCATAATAATCAAAAGGTCGGTCACCTTTAACTGATGGTGACGCATGACCTGAATCACAGGAAGTTGTTAGCGGGCAGCAGTCTTCAACTTCAGCCAGCAATCAGAGCCATGAGATAGATCTATTTTTTTTTTTTTTGGTTAGTCTCATTCAAAGTTTGTTTGATCTTCAATTCCCCAAAGGCATTGTCAAAAAAGGTTGGGCACCCCTGCTTAGAACAACATAAGAGTTATTAACTGTACAAAAAAAATAAATAAAAACGATCCACAAAATAGAGGGACCGGGAAGCCAGAACCAGCGATGGGGATTTCTTGTAATGCGCAAATTAGGAAGGTGTGTGTGTGTGTGTGTGTGTGTGTGTGTGTGTGTGTGTGTGTGTGTGTGTGTGTGTGTGTGTGTGTGTGTGTGTGTGTGTGTGTGTGCGATGTCATCTTTAAACGGACTTGACTGCTCAGAGGTCGTATGTGCCCTGTCAAAGTAGGAAGAAGATTGGTTGTGACAGCGTGCTGGTTCTCCACCACGATCTCATTTCCACCGTGGACCCATCAGCAGGGTCTCCGCTCAACCGGTACCTCGCCTGGTGGAAGATGGGTCAGAGGCCGGTCGAGACAGGTCGCGACGTGGCTACGGTAGGGGTTTTCAGGGGGCCGCGGCGCATCTAGGCGGAAAGCACGCCATTCTATGTCACAAGTGACTCTAAGGTCATGTCGTTTGGGCGATTGACTCGATGACTTGGGACTGGACGACATAGACGGAGCTGACACACAAATGTGTCTTGCACTCGTCTTCACTTTTCAAGCGTTCCGGCCTCGGCAACACGAGGACCGCCTCCCCGTGACCGTGGCCGTCTGTCACGCTCGGCTGCACGTCCGATAACATTTTGAATGAAGTCATCGAAGACGGCAGCAGGGTGAGGCGTGTGTAAGGTGATGGGTAAGGTGGCAGGGGAAGGTGATGTTTAAATTTCACAATTTAAACATCGCCTTATTCTTGCGAGAATCTAGCCAAGTCAATTGGGATTGGTTGCACCTGGCCTGCCCGTCTGTGATGAACACGCTTCACGTCAGTCTTTGCGAATCACGCTCACTGCTGTTAAGTGACCTCGAAAATCACCTATGTCACTTGTGCCCAGTGGCCTCAATGCCACCTGTCTGATCGCGTCACTGCCGATAACCCATCCAAAACTTTCAGGAGAGACGTTAAAAAAAATCCTCTCTGCTTGTAGACCTTCAATGTGTTGTTGAAAGAGACTTTTTACACCAGTGCATCTCATCAACAAAAATCTACCTTTAATGTGTCCTATGTTTGTTGTCATTGCCATTGTCCCCCTCATACCTTTTTATGTGGTCTACATACCCACTGTGTCTCTGATTTTCCCACTTGGGTCCCAGTTGTGCCTCTCTTTTACCTTTATGTCACAATGTGTCCTCCTTTCACCTGCGCTCAGTTCTGGAGACCAGTTAGGCCACACCAGGACCTTGAGATTCTTCTGAGTGAGCCTCTCCTCAGTTGCCCTTGCTATATATTCGGGTCATTGTCATGCAGAAAGACCGATCCATGACCCATCTTTGATGTTCTTACCGATCAGATACTTCCTTCTCGAGTTGTGTCCTATCCCCATGCACATATTCCCTCCTTGTGTCCCAGTTGTTACCCCCACGTGCCTCTCTCTTTCCCTTTTATCCCCCCTTTACCGTCCTTCTTGTGTGCGCCATGTCTCCCCCTTTATGTCCCCTTATGTACCCCCAATGCTCCCCTTGTATCTTCTTTATGGGCCTCAAATCAAGTTTACCATTTGTTTCCCATTTGCGTCCCAACTGTGGGCCCCATGGTCCCTTTCCCTTGTGCTCTTCTTGTGTCCCCCAGAACCCCCCGCCGTGGGCTGCGCACACGATCACATCTGCTTTCCTTGTCACCCTATTGCCCCCCCACCACCACCACCACGTATCTTTATTATGTTCCCTGTTTGTGCCCCCTGTGACCTTGGCCTGATCCGGCCCTGTGTCAGTGTGTGACAGCACGTCTGGATGCAAGGCCTGAGGACGTTTGTAGCAATGAGTCAAACAGCATTTACACATGACTTAGCATCAACACACAGCGGCTTCTGAGGGCAAGATGTGGATGACTGAATCTTCATCGGCATGGACACAAAGCACAACAAAAGTGTGTTCAGTGCTCCCAATTGTGGGGGGGGGGGGGTAAAGTGATACTTCTTTCTTTTTCTTTTTTTGTACAATGATTTATTTCCTTTCATTGTTTTTAAAGCATTGCCTCTACAGATCATGAAGGGTTTCTTTTGGCGATGATTATATCCATGATTTCCCTTGTGAATCAATCCATTCATTTTCTTATCCGCTTATCCTCACCCCTTATGAATTTGAACCAAATAAGATCCTCTCGGGTCAAACTGTCTCTTAGAAAACCTTTCCTGGCATTCGCAGTGAGATGAACATAGTCTCATGCATCACTCCTTAGTAACACCAGGGGGCGTCATGGCACCGCTGCGAAACGTGGCGAAGAGTTGCACGCAGGCGCGCACACACACGCGCGCACACGCGCACACGAACCTGAACGCACACAAGCGTTACAAACCCACTTGCACACTCAGAACACATTCAGGTACGCACACACACTGGTCTCCCCGCTGGTTTGCCACGCCTCCCGTAATACGTCACGGCTGATGATGTCACACCCCCTCCTTGTCCTCTTCAGTCCTGGAGCCAAACAACATCATCAGACCCATCAGACCTCCACGAGTGTTCTTTCTTTCTCTCCCTCTCCTCTTCTTGTTTTGCGTGCTACTTCTGGGACCGTTTGGGGGAAGCGTGGTCTGGCTGGAGAGCCGGGTAGCAAGCTGGAGGACCTGGACGTGGAATTCTTTTTGGTTTTTCCCCTACGTATAGGATAAGCTTGTTGGGTGGTCTCCGCTCACGCTCCTCTGCTTTCTTTGTGGATGTCATGCGAATCAGCGGCTTCGATTTTTTTTCACTTTCATCCTAAGTGGTGGTGACAAGGAAAAATAAGAAAAAAAGAGTGAGGAGGGGGGGGAAGTTTATGACGGACATGGCGATGGTGGCGTGGAGGAACCCCGAGGAGGGAACGCTCTCTTCTCCAGTGTCGCACGTTGCTCCCTTGGCTCTGCCAGTCCACATGAACCCACCGCCGGCCTCCCTGGAGATGCCCCCCGCTGCAGGACCACCCACCACCGCCACCAACACAACCAACAACAACAATAGCTCTTCTTCGTCGTCTTCGTCATCGTCGGACAAGCAGGCGAGCGTGCACATCGAGTGCATCGTGTGCGGCGATAAGTCCAGCGGGAAGCACTACGGCCAGTTCACCTGCGAGGGCTGCAAAAGCTTCTTCAAGCGCAGCGTGCGCCGCAACTTGAGCTACACCTGCCGGGCCAGCCGAACCTGTCCCGTCGACCAGCACCACCGCAACCAGTGCCAGTATTGCCGTCTCAAGAAGTGCCTCAAAGTGGGCATGCGGAGGGAAGGTACGACCCGGTCCATTCACTCATATTTTTGATTCGGGGACCAACAATCTTTTATCTGTTTTATTACGTCAATTTCCGGAATTTTTCATTTGGTTCAAATCATTCCAACTTCAGAATGTTCAGCCCATTCAAGGACATCAAGTATTTATTATTTTCATTCTCCCAAATTTGGCCTATATGAGAATATTCCTAAGTAGTCATGATTCCTTTTTGCATGACAACATTCTTAATTAATGCATGAAGACATTATTCCGTTCATATTTACCGTCTCCTTCCACATTTGTTGATCAATTCAAACCATTCTACGCTGTTTATGAAACATGAAATAAATTAGAAACGTTCATTGGCTGTATGGTAACCAGTTGAACATATTTAGGGGGAGAAAAAAACTAAACTTGCAGTTTGGTGTAAGAAAGCAAAAATATACTGTAGCATGTATGTTTTTCTTTTAATGAAGACATTGTGTGATACTTTATTATTATTACTACTCCATTCGTAATTGCTCAAAGGGAAAGTCAACTTCATTTCAACTGCTTTTCCTATAACTTTCAGCATAAAACATTTTAACAAAAAACGTGTGCTACCTTGTGGCGTTTACGTTTACAATTGTTTTAAAAGTAATGTGCCAAATTGTCTATATTTCTTCAAAAAAAATAACACAAATCAATTCCAATTGTTTATGAGTTACATGTAAAATGTTGCCTCTAAAAAATGCTCAAAATGAAGTACCTTCTTCCACACTTTATATTTCAGCCAAATAATAGTTCAGTGGTGCACAAATTGGTCATTGTAAAGCTGAAATGCCTTGTTTATATGGAAATTTGATTCAATTAAACAATTGATGTACAGCAATTAAAAATCAAAATCATTATAAATTTGCTGCAAAAAAAAAGAATAAAAAAAGAACCACGTTTGATAACGTTAATCGTAGTCAAAATGGATGCCATAAGTTAATGGTAAACCACGTGATTTGTCTCAACCAATCAAAGTTGCGATAGAGGATACAATACAGTATCATAAAATCGTTTTATATGCATAGACATAAGTAAACAACATGAATGTAATCATTGAATAATGGATAATCATAATATAATTTGAAACAATGGTCAGACATTTTGGGGAGCGGGGATTTTAATGGAGGCTACTTTTTTTTTTTTGCCAATTTCCAATCTATTAAGCTGTTTTATTTCCATGTCAATCAGGAAGTAGATTTTGTTACATCTAAAATGGAAGCGAAACACAGTGGCGTGTGATTTATGTCAAGCGGCATTGTTTTTAAAAATGTTTTAATTCAAGTGTATGCGTATTAGAAACATTTTTTGGAGGTTTGGTTGTTATTCTGTGATTCCTTACATTATTTGAAAAAAATAAAGACGTCAGTTGATTACAAAATTAAAACTAATTAAAATCAGTGGGTCGTGTGTGTTTGTGTGCAAACTACACGCTGAACGATCACTCAAACACATTTTACCACTGTACACGATCATCGGAATTGGGCCCGAAGTCTGGATCGAATCCATATGAAAAGACATTCGAGTGTTTGGGTGCAACCAAAGTTTCAGTCTTGGAGTTGAAGAGGAGGGGCATCGGTCTGTATGCGAGCGCGTGCGCGCGTGTGCCCGCTTGGGTACGGTGGGGGGGAGGGGGGGGGTGAAACCAACCGGGACGCCAAGAAGACAGCCAGTCCTAAATTTAGCACCTCTCCAAACCCCCTCTGGCGTGACGGCGGAGAGGCTCGCACGCGATCCCGAACCCACTTTAATCCTCTCCTATCTTTTTTTTTTCCCCAAGTGTGTCGTCTGGTGTACTGGCATCTCTCAAGTACATTTTGTGTCAGATGTACTTTTATGACATATATGAACTACGATATTTATTGCTAAAATATGGTTGGTGTTGGTTTTCCGGCATATTTCAACTATATTGTGCAGTGTCGTTGTGAGGCACCTTAGAAGAGTTCTTGTTGTTTTATGGCGTTTATGTAAGCGCATATATCGTACAATGTTGTGTTGTATGGCACATTTAATGGAGCCCAGTGTTGTTTTATGGCACCCTTATGCAGCCTACAGTATGTTACTGTTGTTGATGGCAGCTTTCAATATTGTATAAACATCAGTTATAGTCGATTTATTTTTCTTGCATGGCGTGTTAAAGGAACTGGTAGTGTTATTTTAGAGTAGTTTAAGCATATTTAGTGTTGTTTATATCAAGTCTAGCATAACTTGTTGTTTAGAGCATATTTAAAGTATATTTCATGTTTTTTATGGCACATTTTGCGTTTTATATTTTTGGGGCCTATTTGTTTTGGGAACATTTAGTATGATCCATTTGAAATGTGTTTAGTGTTGTTTTATGGCACGATTGAAGTGCTTATCGTGGCAAAGTGAAAGTATATTTTGTTGATGATGGCACATTCGTGTATATTTTGTATTGCTTTCTGGCAAATTGAGTGTAGATTTTTTTCATGCATAACACTGTAGGCAATTAATATTTGTTTGATGGCACGTTTCAATCGCCATTTCCCGTGTTTTGTTTTGTTTTTCCACCTGCAGCGGTGCAGCGAGGCCGGCTCCCCCCGGCGCAGTCCTTCCACGGCCAGTTCTCCCTGAGCACGGGGGAGCCCCTGCAGTGCCACTCGTACCTGTCGGGCTACATCTCGCTGCTGCTGCGGGCCGAGCCGTACGCCACGTCGCGCTTCGGCTCGCAGTGCCTGCCGGGTGGCGGCGCAGTGGGCATCGAGAACATCTGCGAGCTGGCGGCACGCATGCTGTTCAGCGCCGTGGAGTGGGCCCGCAACATCCCCTTCTTCCCCGACCTGCAGGTTTCCGACCAGGTGGCTCTGCTGCGGCTCACCTGGAGCGAGCTGTTCGTGCTCAACGCGGCGCAGTGCGCCATGCCAGTGCACGTGGCGCCGCTGCTGGCCGCCGCCGGCCTGCACGCAGCCCCCATGTCGGCCGAGCGCGTGGTGGCCTTCATGGACCACATCCGGGTCTTTCAGGAGCAGGTGGAGAAGCTCAAGACGCTGCACGTGGACTCGGCCGAGTACTCGTGCCTCAAGGCCGTCGTGCTGTTCACCACAGGTACGTGACGTCATCGGCGAACACACGAAGGCGATGATTTCTCAAGCGAGAACGCGACACTTCATGGCAAATTAAAGCGTGAAACTTAATGTGTTTTTCCTTATTGTGGCAGCAATGTACGCTTCCGTACTAAAGCATTTTCCAAATTTAAAAGAGTGATTTAAAACAACATGGAAATATTTTGGGGATTATTTTCATGGTGACATACATTTCAAGAAATAAAAGTAGGGTCAAAAGATAGCAGCCAATCCATACTCACTCCCTGTGACGTCACAAATACAGTGTGTGACCTAAAAAGATATATTGATCTTTTTAATGGTGATGACGATGATGACCATCATCATCATCATCGTCAGTCTCTGTTATATTGCATATCATTTAATTAATGTAAAACATAATGTAGAAATGTAAAGTGTACTAATCAATGAATACAATGAACTAAACACCTATTATGCACATTTTTGTTCAAGAGAAAGGACGAAAAAAATGTGACAAAGAAATAAAAATTGTTTCAAACAAAAAATAGTTGTGATCAATATTAAAATAAATGTTCACCACGCAAAAATCATGAAAAGTTTTTGTATGTATGGGAGGAAAAAAACAACAGTATGTAAATTGTGAAAGTACATGTTTTATTTTGTTATTATTTGACAGCGATTCATCAATTTCCCAAATATGATAGCGAGCCTTAAAGAGAAATTGAACCATGCAATAAAAGATGTATAGGTATTTACAAAAAGCAACAGCATCTTATGTAAGAGGTTCAGTCAGAGCACTCACCTCACTTGACCTGGTTGAACAAGGCCGCCCTTAAAGGGACAGGCTGCATTTGATCTGTGATGGAGAATAGAACTACCTCTGCATCAATTATGAAGTGTGGAAGAGGAATGGAAAAACCCTTATACTTTGCTTCCTTAAAAATAAATTTGAAAACTAGCGTCATGATTTAATTTACTAACCATTCTCTTTTTAATTGTAGTTAAAAATAAAACATATGTTGCTTTTTCCCTTTTTAGTGTTGCATTTTAAAAATCTTAGCCCTTCAAACATTGTGCCAATGGTTATGGCTCATGTCCGCCCCTCCCCCCCCCCCCAAATAGATGCTTCTTTGCTATTAAAAGTTCTGTAGTGTAGTTTTGTGGCTGATTTGGTTTATTTCAGTGCTGTATATTTAAAGGATATTTAGGGTCCAGGGATGCTCGTCGCAAAGTGTGGTACTCGTCCCACCAGCGGCACGCGGGCTCCCTCTAGTGGTAACAGAAAGGATCACTGAATAAATTGTTCAAATTGTGTAAAATGTTCGTGGCTTCAACTTTTGAAAATCCAGCACAGTGCATTTGTCCAGTGGAGTTTGGTTGTATTTAACTTTTGACTCTAACGCGTTTGCATTTAATCTTTCAGATACAATTTCAAGAACATTTTATGCACAATACATTTTAATTCAAGTGTATTTAAGCACACATTTCTGTGATCAATGTTACAGCGCCTTTCGAGATGATTAAATGTACCTGTTTGGCATAAAACATCTGCCCGCCCGAATGTGGTGCAATTTGGTCAGCAAAGTACTTTTTGAGGGGCATACTTGTATTTACTGTTCTTGTGATATATGTAAAGTACTATGTATTTATTAGGACGGATATTCAAAGCATATTTATTGGATCGCTGTTTTCTGGCAAATGTATTTGCGTGTTGTTTTTTTATGGCATATTCAAAGCAAATTTAGGGAATTGTGGTGGTTTGTAGCACATTTAGTATTTTGTTGCTTTATGGCGCTGTTGTCTTGTGGCATGTTTATCGTCAATATAGCATTTAATGTTATTCTATGACATACAGAAAGTGCACTTGGTCTTGTTTTGTAGCGCATTTGGGAGACAGCATTGTTCGATGGTACTTTAAGGTAGAACGTTGATTTTGTGTTGAAAGTCTATTTAGTGTACACGGCGTTTTATGGCACACTTACAGTAGATTTATAATATTGCTTTTCTGGCGTATTTCAACGATGTTTCTTGTAAAATGTTGTTTCATGGCCCATTTGTGCTAGATCGAGTGTATACAGTGGTGTTGTTTGATGGCATGTTTCCAGGCATATTTCTTGTTGTACTGCAGCCGGTGCTTGCGTCGGGGTCCGCATGAGTCCGCGTGTACACGTGTCATCAAAGTGGGACACATGTCAGTGTACGTGAACGCTCTGCGCTTCTGCCGCTGCCGCGTTGCGGCGCGGTGCCCTACATTTGACGGCGGCCATCTTGGCGGTGGCGTGCCGAGCGAGCGGGTCAAACGAGGTCGAGCTGGATGTTTATCTCGGCGGCAGCTTGCCTGATTTGTTGTCGTCTCGTACGTTCATGCGCTGTTGATCAAGTAAAGTCCCAGACTCATTTCACTGATTTGTGGGGTTTTTTTTTCCATTTGCTGGCCTGATGTCATTGTGAAAAGTCTGATTTGGATGGGTTGTGAGCAGATGTAATATTTGATTTGACATTTAAATCCACTCGCCAAGATAAAGCTCGTTGCCAAGTTTAACTCTTTTGAAAGAAAATCAATGAAATGATGAAATGGGAGCCAGTGCAAGGCATATTACAGAATATAGTGCTTATGTGTGCGTGGATATCAATACACATTGTTTTCATTAATTACAGATTATAGACGGCTCACCTAAATGAGGGATAGAATGATATACTGATGAATTATAATGCACCCTATCACTGGTGATATGCATAATATGTACGTCATTATGATTATAATACCATCACATGTCATGCAAAGTATAAATATGGGAAACGTCAAAGTATAAACACATACTTCTGCTCTTGTCTGTGTACTCCCTAAGTCTGTGTGACTTTATCATGTTTTTTTTTTTGTTGGGTTTTTTTTTTTTGCAAATTGTGTGAGTGCTGCAAAAAAAAAAAAAAAAACAGAATTTTTCATGCAGAAATCATACTATTCGCTGAGAAATTTGGTCAGGTCCGTGCATAGTGAGACATTGAAACAATTTAGGCTTTTAGGTCCTAACCACTACCACAATGGATTTGAAATGAAATAAACTACATTTGCTTTCTGTGCAGATGTTCAGCTTTAATTTCAAATCAGGTATGCAATGTCGGATGAACAAAGGTTTGGATCTATGCCTCCCACTTTTGAAGACACAAAAAGTAACGGGACAGTTGACTGCACAGCTGTTTTCAGGCCAGGTAGCTATGTATGACTGCAAATGGAAATGCTTTCCTTTTACTTATTGACGGTGTGACTGCTGAGAAAAGCATTTGGATGAAATGTTTCAGGCAATATTATTGGCTCATATTCAGCCAAATGCTTCAGAACTCGGCTTGGGCAGCGCATCACAGTGCAGATGGACAATAACCCTCAGCAAGCAGCAAAAGCAGCCAAAGTGTTTTTTCATGCAAGTCAGTCACCTCACCTAAACTGTCTGACACTTTTTTTCTGATTGCAAAGAAATAAAACAAGGAATAAGCTTTTAGTAAAGTCTTGCAAAGTTTGTACTGGTGATTTTGTGTGACTTTCAAGGCACATTTACTTCAAATATAGTCATCAGCGAAACTCAACTTTAAACGTTTTTTTTCCCCTGACAAGTTGTCGCCCTGACGATGTTATCAGTCTGCCTGGCGCACAATTTTCACACGGCCCTTTCTCTTCCTATTCCCGGTTCCTGTTTTGGCCAGATGCATGCGGCCTGTCGGACGCGACGCACGTGGAGGGTCTTCAGGAGAAGTCCCAGTGTGCACTGGAGGAATACGTGCGCAGCCAGTACCCGAACCAGCCCAGTCGCTTCGGCCGCCTGCTGCTGCGCCTGCCGTCTTTGCGCTCCGTGTCGTCGGCCGTCATCGAGCAGCTCTTCTTTGTGCGACTGGTGGGCAAGACGCCCATCGAAACGCTCATCCGCGACATGCTGCTGTCGGGCAGCAGCTTCAACTGGCCTTACGTGCCCGTCCAGTAGCGCCCCCTGTGGCCGGGGCGGGGGCGGCGGAGCTGAGGCAAAATGGTCTTCTCCTGGACGGGCTTGCACAGCTCCAGACATGACATTGGGGAAACACGATATCGATCTAACGTGCACACCAAATGCTAATTTGTGGCCGCAAAATACTGCTTTCAACCCCACGCTAATTTGCTTCTCACAAATGTAGCTTTTTTTTCTCGGTGTTTTCCCCTATTTGCTGAAACATTCACCTATACACATCTTTCTGTGTATTTTGCATTTTTTCTGTAGCGCCCCAGGATGCCATAAAAGAGTGCCAAAGCTAGTGCGAAGAGAACAGTACAAACAAGACACAGATCTGATCAGGGACGCTCTGTGCTGCCACCGTAAATACTCCAAAATAGCTCAGCATACATAGTCGTACTTTATTCCGTTTTTTTCCCTGATATTTGTTAATAGTTTTTTTTTGGGGGGGGGTGGCTGTTGGTTGCATCCACTACCTACACACCCACTCATTTTCAATACAATGAGTGTTTATTAGCGTTTTGGGACGAATTTTTTTGGTTTAATAGTTTTTTTTATCCCCCCAATCCATTTCAAGGGGCATCAATTATGCACAAATTTGGGATATTCGTGGGCCAGGGCCACTTTCAATCCCCTGTGTACAGTGACAGTCGTCTCGACAATAAATACAGAAGATGTTTGAATAGTTTGGATAGATTGATCCATCTTTTGATCAGACACGTGATCGGCTCCAAAATCCTGATCGTGTAAAATCCTGATAACTGGTATCGAGGAAGTAAAGTGAATCAATGTTTCCTATTCATTAATTTGCATTTGTCATGGGACTTATCCCCAGATAATCACTAAACAAAACTCACCTATTTGCCGTTTTGGGGATCTTTCGGTAACACGCCAAGTTGTCACAAGATGGCGCCAAAGTGATGGCTAATAGTAAAGTCATTCTTGGCGTCAAGGAAATATGTTGTAAGTATACGATAAGATCTACCGTATGCTCCCTTTGTAATTTGTGGCTACAAAAATTGCAGGTATAGCGTGCGCATAAAATATTAATTTGCTTAATAAGTCATGGGGGTAAGCAAATGGAGCACACCTTAACCTCTATCTTATGTCTCAAGACAAGGTGCACTCGATTTGACTCCCCAACTCTCCAGGAATGAGATGAATATCATTCATGTATTTTGCGTGCACATTATGCCTACTTCATGTACTTTGTGTGCACATTCCATCTATATTGTGGCGAAAATGACACCCTCCGCACCCCTGTCATGTCTGTGGCTCCGAACAAAGTTTTTCTTTTTGAGATTACCGGACATTTTTTGCAGTGTTGTAAAAGATGTATTGCCCCCCCGTGTGTGTATATTTATCATAGTTGTCATTTAAAAAAAACATGTTTTTAAAAGGGAGCAGGGCTTTTTCAAGATATTTGTTGTGGTTTTGTCAATATTTTCTTTCTTTTTTTTTTTTAAATATCCAGACATGGCACTTTTTTTCTGTTAAGGACTAAACAAAATAAAAGTACAATTTCACACAAAAAGCACGCACAACCTTTGTGCTCATGTTTGCTATATATTAGCTTGACTGTCAGCAAGAATGCATCAGTAATGTCATTACTTTTTTAAATAGCCAGTGAAAAGCAAAGCACCTCGACACATTTTGTTACTTTTATATCTTTATTTATTTAAAAGTGTCTGTTTTGTTTTGTTCCATTGTTGTTGTTTTGTTAAAATAAAATCAATCGCCCAAAAAAAAAAAAAAAAATCTAACAAAACCGATTTTGGAGATTCTTGGTTTTCATTGGACATTGCAATAATGTTTTTAATTTTTACACTTTTCAAACAAATTTATTACTTTGACTTGGTGTTGTCACAACATGCAAATATTCTCTCAGATCTTTGTTGGACATTTTGTGTTTTAACCAGTGTATTTGAAAGAAACAATATTTTTAGGCACACCTTGGTTACTTAGACATGACGTTGTTGACATTGTGGCAATCGGCAAAATGCGAAAATTTCAATGCAAAGGCACAAAAAAAAAATTAAAAAGACTAATAAAATACTGTACATTTAATTTAATTTGGGATGTTGCCATGGCAATTCTGTCTAATCATTTTTAAATTCTATTTTTTCGAATTGGCAAGTGAAAGGAGTAATTCTGCTATTTTTAATTGATTTTAATTAAAGTCTTAAAAATCAAAATTCACACCAGCCAGACTTTTAAAAAAATAATTATTTAGTTTATAATGACAACATTGCAGTATATTATCACTTTCTTGTGTTGTATTATAATCATGGCTTGTAAGATGTGTAAAAATGCCCATCTCGAGATTTATAGTTGTTCAAACAAAAAAGTAATGACATTGCTGTGTGTGTATTTTTGTGTGTGTGTGTGTGTGTGTGTGTGTGTGTGTGTGTGCTCTTTTTGGACAAGCACTGTACTGTGAAAGCATATTTGTTTGATAACATATTCCTATTGTGTTAAATTATAACTCAAGATTTCTACATTAAAATAATGATAATAAAATGTATTTGATTGATTTTGACACATCAGTCGTGGTGTGTGTGCATGTGTGTCATTTACTACAGTTGAAGCTACCTGGCCCTGTCTGGAATAGTATAAACCATGGTGGTGTTGGTGTGATGGTCTGGGGCTGCTGTTTAACTTCATGACCTGGACGACTCGATTAATTGATAAAACCATAAATTCTGGCCTCCACTGTAAAATTGTCAATATTTTTGCATGTATCGTTCGTCTTGCATGTCAGTACTATATGTATGACGTACAGTCATGCAAGTGGTCCTAGCCAACTAGGATTTATTTCCGGCACCAATGGGCACAAAAACCAATCTCGGAATCTATACCTTTGTATAACAGTACATGCTAAAGAATTGCTGAATTAAAAACAAATACAATGTACAACATTTATCATTATCAAAAAATGTAACACAACAAATTCTTGAATAAACAGAGACATACTGCTAATAAGATAAATATTGCAAAAATATTGGGTGTGGGGTGTCCTTAGGTAGGTGAATCGGTGGTCACCAAACCACTTTACATTCTTACTTATTACAATGAAACTTGCAGCTATGCATGCAGCCTGTCCAAACTTTTTATACCCGGTACGGCATTTTTTTGTTTGTTTGGTTTTTGTTTAAACTTTTCCCTTTCAAAGCACAGTTCAGCTGTATTGAACGTTTAAGTGTCGTACAATACATTTGCATTCAATCTTTCAGAATGTTTTACTTTAAAATTTATGTCTCCTTATTAACATTTACGCGCAATCATTTTAAACAATTTTTAATTGCTTTGCAGTAGCTTATTTTATTGCTACCCTACTAAGGGTTAATGTTCAAACTGAATTTACTGTTAAGCGCGGGCCTGTGATAACAAATACATGAATAAAACTTAGCATCCTTTTTTCATGAACCTTTTTTCATGAACACTCTACTCCTGCATTTCAATGTTGGTCATTAGGGTGGCGATTGGGGAACTACAGACTAATAATTATTAGTTTGATTAATCTCTTGATAACCATGACATACAAACAAACAGTCTAATGTATTTTAAGTCATTTTGTGTTTTAAAGTTTGGTAATAATGATGATACTTTTGTAGTATATCCTTTGTCGACCAATCTTGTTAGGAAAGAACAGAGTGTGTGTGTGTGTGTGTGTGTGTGTGTGTGTGTGTGTGTGTGTGTGTGTGTGTGTGTGTGTGTGTGTGTGTGTGTGTGTGTGTGTGTGTGTGCGTGTAGGTGCGTGTGTGTACGTGTGTGTGGATTAAACAGCTCGCTTGGGGGCCGTAATGAGGGCCCCTGAGGCCTCCTGTCACTCCGCTTTAGGCTGAGGAGGTTGACGCTGAGGGTCCACGGGTGGTGGTGTGGGGGGGATCCGGGCCCAAATGGGGCAACACGCACCACGGGGGGTGGAGGGGTTAGCTGAGCGTAACTGCTGTAGAGTAGAGACGTTCAAATGAACTTGTGGAAGGAGGCCGTTCTGCCGTGTCCTCTTCAATTTGCTAGCAGCCAATCAAATGGCGGAAGAGGGAGCGGTTGTAGCCAATCAGATCGTTTCTTACTTGTCGTCCACGCTTTTACACTTCTTGACGTGTTGTTTTTTGGGGTTTTTTTTCTCCAAAGCTTCCCCGCATAAAGAGTAACGCTCACTTGTTTTTTAATAACATTGATTGGTTTTAATTTATTGTGAATATGTCATTATTTTTAAAGCTATAAACACGATTTAATAAAAGTTTTTTTCCAGGCCTTAAATGAGTGTACAAAATTAGGTTCAACGCGAATAAAATAGTAAATGAAAAAATAAATAAAAGAGTTTGGGGTGGAGGGGCCCTCATCGATACCCAAAGAAACGAAAATACTTAATATTCATCTCAATGCATATGTTTAAAAATCAATTAGTGGTCTATTGATTTTTTTTGACTTACCATAACATAAATGCATTTCATTTTGGTTGGTGGTCAATACATACATTTATAAACATTTTTTTTAATTTGAACATTCTCTTGTTGTTTGTTGTTGTTTTGGGTGGTGTTTTCTTGAAACGTCGGAGTTCTTTTTTTTGTGCACAAAGTGTCAAAAGTGAAGTTTCCCCATTCACGCAGGATCAAGTAAAAGTTAAAATACTCGTAAAAATTAAGGAGTAACGAAAAGTGTTATCAATTTTGGGCGCAAACATCCAAGAAGTCGTACAGTCAATTTAAGAGAGGATGCTCTCGGTTGCCATGACGACGTGATGCGGACAAGTGGAGTGCAGATTTTCCAAAACGCGATTAAATAGACTTGGTTGCAGTGCAAAAAATCATGCTCACGCCTCATTGACGCTATGCTAAAAATCACACCGGACGTTGGCCATATTTGGACGTCACCGTAGGATGCACGCATATGACTTGTCTGTTGCGTTATGGTCGCTTCACCCCCCCACTCTCTAAAATGCAACGACTTTTAAAACCACACACACACACACACACACACACACACACACACACACACACACACACACACGCGCGCGCGCGCGCAGACACGCACATTTTTTAAAAATCCTTTCTTTCTCTGCATTTCAACTTGGTGAACTCTTGAAAGTTGTTTCCTGTTGAATCAGATGAACATTAATATAGATTTCCACATGGAAACATGTTCGCTGATTGTGATGTTATTTTGTTTGTTTGTTTGATTTATCCTCAGAAGAATTATTTCGTCTTGGACAAAAGTAAAAAAACTTGGGGGATGGAGACACCATTTTTTTAGATATACCATCGACATAAACTTCCAGGTGAAGTCATTAATAATAAACAAACCACAAATGTTGTGAAGTAGAAAAAAAATACTAAACTAATGGCTGGATGAGCATGGATCAATGTATTTATTTAAAAAAATAAATTTCTCTAAAAATTTAAATTTGTTCTGTTTTTCAATCTGTCAGATGCACGTTTAAAAACACATCTAAAGATGTGGGAACTAAAAAAAAAAGTAACTTTTTTGCATTAAATGAAAAAAAAACAATTTGAAAGGCATGCAGGGAAATATAGTTTTTGGGTGAAATTTTCTTTGTGTTTCGAAATTTTAAAGGGCAACATTTCTTAAAATGAAGAAACAAACATGCTTCATTTTTTGACAGCAACAATTGCTTTCTTTTATATAATTTTTTTCAAATACGACAAATGAAAATCATGCAACTCCAATCACCCCCCACCCTCCAAGTTTGCATGTTTCCGATTGGACTTCAACAATGTGAAAGGTGTGACACGTGCGACGACATATTGTTTGTGTGCTGTGACCTTTGAACTGTTGATCCCCTGAGCGACCCCCTTAACCTCGTGCAGCATCGGAAGTGCGTGTGGAATTCCTGGAGGTTAACTGCTCGGAATGAAAAAGTGGACACACCGGGTGGGGGAGGCGCAGCGCCTGCATGGACGCCCCCCTCCCACCTTGTTGGTTTTTGTCATCATCTACTTTGTCTTGAATGTTGTAGGATTCACATTTCCTTTTTTTGGTGTTTTTTTTTTTTCATTTTAAAAGTGTAATTCCAGTTGAACTTTTCTGTGTTGTAGTTTTTAAATATAATTCGATAATAAATTGTGTAATGAATAATAAAAAATGAACTTTGTGTAAATCATTTTTGATTGTTTTATATAATCAAAAATGTGAAGTGTTGGAGAAAAAAATGCTACAAGTTTGTATATTTTATTTGGGAACTTTTATCTGATTTTGCCTTTTCAAAATATTCACAACTGATTATCTTGATATTGTGATACGACTGTCATGTAATTGTTTTAAAGTTTTAATTGAACTGGTACTGTACATTTTTACAATTAAATAATATAAATTGGGTATGTATTGTATAAATCTCTTTTGACTTAAAAATAATAATTTTGATATTGTATGTATTTAATTTACTGTCATAATTTTGTGTCGAATTGAACATGGTTTGAAATATCATTTTAATTTGAAAGTCACAACCATTCTTGGGCAGCGAAAGGAACATTGTTTTGTGTTCCAAGTCTTCCTTACAGCGCCCCCTGCAACTCATTTTCGTGATAGCACCAAGTCTTAAAAAGGCTTGTTTATTATTAATGACCAATAGAAATGCAGTTTGAATCGTGATGTGAATTTGCTG